ACATGTAATAAAAGCAAATAAATAAGTGAAGAAATAAGAAGGACTAGACAATTTGCAATGAAAGATATTGAGGGTACACATCATAGAGTGCTTGTGATTATTTGGCTAGCACATTCTAGGCACTGGGGTTCGGTGGGGAACACGATATGCTTGGTCCTTGCTCTTCTGAAGCTGATATTCTAACAGGAGAGACAAATGGCAAGCAAGTCAGCAAATGGAGGAATAAGAGTTTTGATGAGGAGTTTAGAAAATACCAGTGCTGTGTTAGAGACCAGGGTGAGGTGGGGGTGTGTGTACTCTTAAGCAAACTTGTACTGAGCACCCAGCAAGTGCTAGGGCATGCACATGGTGTTAGACACACAAAAAAGAAGACAAAGCCGGGTATGGTGGCCCACACCTTTAATCCTAGCACTCGGGAGGCAGAGTCAGGCGGATCTGTGTGAGTTCAAGGCCAGCCTGGTCTACATAGTGAGTTCGATGACAGCTGGAGCTACAGGGAGACCCTGTCTCAAAAAAAAAAAAAAAAAAAAAGACAGAGATGGAACCAGGCCTGTGGAAGGCAAACTTCTAAACAAATTTACCATGAATACCAAGTAATTTTTCACAGTAATAGAAATTTGCTCAGTGGTGCCACAAAGGTCGGAGTGGTTGGCTCTGCTTGCCCTTGCAGTACCAAAGGTACCAGGAAAAGAGGCAAAGTGAATCTGTGGGAAGTTCACAAGTGAAGAAGGGAAACTGAGGAACACATTCTATGACCTTCATTTTTCCCTTGACGTTTGAGGCTCCTTGAGGGAGTAACAGATTACAAGCTTAAAGGAATGGTATGTCATCTTGGCTATATTCCAGACCAATGACACTGCTGAATTTGCACGTCAAGCTCTGGCTTGGTGCCCTGATCCTGGTCACAGGACATTTTATGCTTCTATGAGATATCACTGAGGGCATACATAACTCTAAAGTTTTCATTTCCCCTAGATATTTCATATTATTATTCATTCAATAGCATTTCAAAACTTTATTTATTTACTTATTTACTGTGTGTACATGTGTGCCACTCCATGCATGTGGAGGTCAGAGAACAACTTATAGGACTTGGTTTTCCTCTTCCATCATATGGGTCCCAGGGATCACACTCAAGTCATTAAGGTTGGTGGCAAAGTGCCTTACCTGCTGAGCCATTGTGGTGGCCCTATTCAATAGCATTTAACAAGCATTCATTATATACTTGGCATAGCATAAATGATTAGTGAGTGAACAAAGGAATGAATAGTTGAATGAATGAACAAGTAAACAGTTATAGCCTATCATTGACACCAGAAGCAAGATTTAATTAAAAATTTGAGAACTTAATTATAAAAACTAGCTTCACCCTTAGCATCAAAATAGCTTTGAAGCCACCTAGATCGTCCACAGTAAAAATGACCACTGTTCATTGAGGCTTGCAGTGAGTTAAGCCTTATGCCAAGCATTTCACATGCATCTCTCATTTATTTTTCCTACAACCTCTTCATAAGCATGCGGATCATCCTCATTTTACAGATGAGAAAACTAGCTTTGGGAGGTTAAATAACTTGAGAATTGAAGCTGAGGTCTTAACCCATCGTCCTTCTTCCCTCGCTTCAAAAAGATATTGTTCTGTTTGTAGGTGAAGATTACTCGATCTTTTGCACCTGAATTCTAGTTATTGAAAATGGCAGCAGCGAAGCTGTCAGAAGTGCCTACATAAACTGGAAGGACACCAAAATGTGCATTTTCCAGTAGAGAAATGACTATGGCACCAAACCAGACTACATCTTCATCATCATTCTTTCTTGCAAATTAACCAGTCAAGAAATATTTATGTTTAAATATTTTTATGTGTATGAGTATATTGCCTGCATGTATGTGAGTGTACCCGTATCGTGCAATGCTGAGGTCAGGAGAGGGCTTTGGATTCCCCTGGAACTGGAGTTAAGGACAGTTTGTAGCCGCCATGTGGGTGCTGGGAATCGAACCCAGGTCCTCTGCAAGAGCAGTCAGTGCTCTTAACCGCTGAGCCATCTCTCCAGCCCCATGGTCTCTCTTTTTTTTTTTTTTTTTTTTTTTTGGAACAGGGTCTCCCTGTAGACCCAGTTGGCCTGGAACTCACTATGTAGACCAGGCTGGCCTTGAACTCAGAGATCTGACTGCCTCTGCCTCCCAAGTGCTGGGACTACAAGCATGTGCCATCACGCCTGGTTGTAGGCCTCATTTTTAAGATCACAATTCTACTTGCAAGGACCAATGAAAGGCTCTACAGATTGACTAGTGGTGGAAAACCAGGGCTGGGCATTCTTCATGATGTTTAGGCTCTTTGCTACGTCCTCAAAGAACACTATTCAGAAACAGAATTTTGTGACAGGGTTTAGGTGCAAGGGGGGACCTGGTTGGTACCTATACCAGTACTACAGCAACTAACAAGAGCAGTGTTATTTGTCAGCAACTGCCCCAGAACTAACTTGGAAAGTACCCAAGGGGATCAAGGCATCTGACATGAGGACTGTCCGTTCTTTCTTGATCTGAGTAGGCCAAAGTAAATTTATGCCTAAACAGCTAGTTTCCAGATTTCACTGTCTTTTCAGCCACACATTATCTTAAAATTCCTAAATAAGTCAAAATTGCTGGTGTACAGTAATCTTAGGAAAACTGAAGAGCAAAATGAATAGCTAGATATCTCTGGGAGATGACCAGACCATAGTGAGACTTAAGTTCGAAAGACACCTGGTGGGCTGAGCTGGCTGGCAGATGGTGATGAGGTAATGTTACCTGTCATAAGGAATAGATGTCTGCAAACTACATCAGGCCATCTGGGAAGTAGATTTCACATATTTCCTCCCTTGTTTGTATTACTACTAAACTACTTTTCAATTTGAATCTACCCTGGAAGTAGATTTCTATATAATTTATTTCCTTATAAAACTAGACATTTTATAAATGTAAAGATACTCTGCATCAGCAAATAATTCATTTGCATTTTTAATTTTCAAAAAATATTTTTATGTGTATGAGTGTGTTGCCTGCATGTAGTGAGTGTACCTGTGTTGTGCAATGCCATGGAAGTCAGAAGAGGGCCTTGGAGTCCCCTGGAACTGGAGTTAAGGATGGTTTGTAGCCATCATGCAGGTGCTGCAAATCAAACCTGGGTCCTCTGCAAGAGCAGTCAGTGCTCTTAACCACTGAGCTATCTCTCCAGTCCCTGTATTTTTAATCTTTAAAATTACATTTATTTTTTGTTATGTGTATGAGAGGGCTTGTGTGAAAGTCAGACAACTTGTGGGAGTCAGTTCTCTCCTTCCAACATGGGTCCCTGGATTCAAACTCAGGTCATCAGGGGAGGTGGCAAGTGCCTTTACTTGCTGAACCATCTCACTGGGCAACCTCACATTGCTTTGAGACAGGGTCTCATGTAGCCCAAACTGGCCTTGAACTCCTAATTCTCCTGCCTCTACTTCCTGAGTGCTGGGATTACAGAGCATGCAACATCATTTCCAGTTTTCATTTGTATTCCTAAAGTGTCAGATTTGTATGAGTCTTGCTAATGTTTGAATTGGGGCAAAAAATATTGAGGTAAGGGGCTGGACAGATGGGGCAGAGGCTGGTTGCTCTTGCAAAGGACCCAGGTTCGATTCCCAGCACCTACAAGGCAGCTAACAACTGTCCACAACTCCAGTTCCAGGGGATCTGACGCCTTCTGACCTCATACACTCATTCAAGCAATATACTCATACACATAAAATAAAAATAATAAATGCTGTTACTTTAAGTCTAAACCACTTATTCTCACCACAAAACTGAAAGGAGCTGACATAGTAACTGAATAGCAAGGGTATGTATCTTTAAAAAACAGGCAGAGGTTTTAAGAGTCTTAGCAGTAGGATTCCTAGGTGCAGAGCAGCTGTTTTATTTTCCACTTTTGCTAGCCTCCTTCCTTTTGTTTTCCTCAGGACTTGGCATGCAGTTCCTTTTGAATGTTAATTTGTGGATGTTAACCCCTTTCCTTGGTCTGGTCCCATACCATGAAAGGCCTAGGTTGAGAAACCACCAGAGAGGCCTATTTCCCTTTTACTTTGCTAATACTCAGGAAGATAATGGAGCAAACAGCCTCTCAGAACTTCTTAAGAAATCACTTAGCTTCTCTCCAGGATGCTGCACAAGGTGTTGGGTTAGTCCCTTGCATGAGGAGGTATTTTAAAATCTGGGTGAGAGATGACATGCTTCAAACAGAATTGAGGGAAAAAAGGTGTGGTGGCACACAACTGAAATCCCATTAAAGGGGGGGGGGGGGGGCATGAGTTCCAGGCCAGTCAGAGCTACACAGCAAGATCCTGAAAACAAGCAATAACGTTTTCACCATTCTCCACCACCTGTCTATTTGCGGTATGGAAGTAAACAAGGACCACCAAATGACACCAGGCTAGTTGTTAATTGTTCAGAGCTTGCCATGGCAATGGGGTGGGCAACCGCTCATTGGGGTTTGGTAACAACTCAGGCCCTCAGAATAGAAAAGCTTTATAGTCAAAGAAGTAAAGTAAGGTTTCAGGTTTACTCTGATTGGATGTTGATGGCAAGGAAGCAGGAGGAGGGTTAGAGGCAGGGAGTCTGTGATTGGCTTGGAGAGCATATTTGGCTTTCTCGGATTGGTCTCAAGTTGGAAGCAGCGGCAAAAATATGGAAGCTGCCAGTCAGGGACGAAGTCCTAACAGTCTTGGGCCCCTTACAGCCAGGGTTCTGGGTCGGAGTACATTGTCATATATGCCTTGGAGTCCTATTGTCTCATATGGTTTGACCTGTCAGTATTTTCGGCCTCTCAGATGGGTCAGACCCAGGTTTTTACTTTCCCTTTAGCCCTGCTCGATTTCAGCTCCAAATTTTGTTTTGCTTGGAACAAAACTGCTTTTCTGAAAGGGTAAGACATCACGGGAACAAATGCATAAATATCTTTGCAGTTAGGATCAGGCGGAGCATCCACCCCCACCCCGGTTTCCCCATTTCCCTAAGTGACTTCTGAAGGGTTCCTCACTTGCGGGGATGCTCGGCCCCTCTTTCTAAAGCACTGCCGGTGCGGACAGGAGCAAAGGGTCACCTCGGCCGCGCTCTGGGCTCGCACCCCACGAGCAGCGCCACGTTGCCAGCCGGGCCTCGGCCTCCAGCTTCCCCATCCTCCGCCCTAGCCTCGGCCCTGCCGGCTCCACTTCCGCACGTCCCTGGATGGAGACGCGCCACGGCCCCGCAGCAGCCTCGCGGGTCGCCCGGAGACCCCAGGTCAGTTCTCCATCTCCGAGCCCGAGCGAGCTGCTCTGGGAGCGGGTCCCGCTTTGGGAACCAGCAGACCTCCGCCGCCATGTCCTCTTTGGAGAGACGAAGGCCAGGGCGAATCTGGCCGTCACCATCCCCTCCCCAAACGCGTCTCCTCTGCTCCCAGGGAAAACCCTTCCCGAAATAGCCATGTCAGAGAGCGGCCCTCCGTCCACCGAGACCGTGGTTGGTTCCCCGCGCCTGTCGCGCCGGGGAGGCCGTGATGCGGTGTCGGCTGCAGCAGCCCAGCTTTCGCCATCTTGCGAGGGGGAGGAGCCGCCGCCATGCGGAGAAAGGCTGGGAGGGGAGGGAGGGAGGGAGACAGACGGCGGCGGCTGCGGCCCAGGGAGGGAGCGGAGGAGGCGGAGGAGGCGAGTCCGCTCAGCCCGGCGGAGACTTCGGGGGCGCTCAGAGCAGGCCGCGGCTGAGGTAGCGGCGGGCGGCGCGGCACGGCACTGCACTGTACGGCACGGCGGGGGCGGGGCGGCGGGCGCCGCGGCGAGGGGCCGGGTAGGGGCGGGCGGAGGTTTCCGAGGAGGAAGGAGCCGCCGCCATTTTGGGAGCTTCGAGTCAACAATAAAGGACCGAGGGTGCCGAGCGGGAGTGGCCACGGTGGTAGGACTCGGGTCCGAGCCGCGGGGCGTGGGGTGAGGCGGTGGGGTCGGGGTCGGTGGGGCCGCGGGGGCCTCTGTGCCGGCGGCGGGGCGCGCTTGGGGCGGAGGCCCAAGGCTCAAGCCGCGCGGAGGAAGGTGGGCGGCCGCGGAGTGGAGCGGGGGCGGCGGACCAGAGTGGAATAGAGGAACGTGGTGCGCGGCGGGGTCCGGAGGAGGAGCGGGGGCGTGCTCGGGCAGCGGGGTGGACGGCCGGAGGGAGGCCCCGGGCGGCCCGCACTTGGGAGTGCTATTGGAGCTCCCAGGGAACCGGGCAGCTGGGTGGAGGGCGGCGGGGCCGTGCTGTCCGGAGACCCGGGTTCGAGAGGCCGGCGCCTACTTGGTTGCAAGTAGGCCTTGCAAGTCGGTCCTAACGAGAGGGCTGAGGGAGCCTCCGGGTCGCAGAGGAAAGGAGCGGCTTTCTAGTTTTGGGGGTTCCCCTCCGGGCCTTCTGAGGGCAGTCCAGCGAGCTGGTTCCGGCTCTTGTGGCGCAGATAGGCTTGCTGGGCTCCGACCCTTTTGTGTTGATGCTCCGGAGGAGCTGGACTTGTAGAGTGTGGGGTTGGGGGTGGGGGACAAGGAATTGCTGTCCTACGGTTACTGGTCTCCTATCATTGGCTTGTCTCTGCCCTTTCCCACAGCCCCCTTTTCCTTCCGACTAAAAACCCAGTCACGCCAACTTATGGCGGAGCCTTAGAGAAACTGCGCTGCATTTGCAAACAAAAGCCCTTATTGGAGATGACGATACTGTTTTGTGCGTGAAACTGTCAATTGCTAACTAGGATCTGGGAAGTGCTGTAATTAACTCTGCCGGGGGCTCCTCCCAGCTAATCGACGTTCATTCCTGGTGGTTTTTTGTTTCTTTTTCTTTTCTTTTAAATGTAGAAATATAACTTGCAAGTCTAAATTGGGTAGGGGTAGGAGGTATACCTCCTCTGAGACATAAAACTGCAGTGCAGGTGTCAGTTTAAGAAGGGAGCAGCTATCAGTTTCATTTTGCATTTGAGGCGGTAGGATTTACTGTGCATGATAGACTATTCTGATGGTCTGTTTAGTCTTCAGTTGCCCTCTTCAGCCTCTCAGAGCTTTGCAAACAAGTTAAGGCGTCCTGTCTGACGTGCCTGATACTGTTGATCATAAATAAACCTGTCAATACAGAAAAGTGGCTAACAGAAGTCAAGATTTCAAAATAAACCGCTTTGTGTATGTGATACCAAACCAGTGTTTGTGAGCAAGTTGATACTTTAAAAAAAATAGCTTTAAGCAAACATGATCAAGAATTGTTTTCTAACAAAATTTGAGATGTCTTTTGACTTAAAAATTTGGGTTTGAGATGCTTTGGTTATGGCAAAAATAACTAGCATTGATTAAACTAGTTTATTGGAGGGGGCGTTAAATGTAAAAAGGATTACAAAATAAAAACCAAAGGAGTTGGACTTGTTTTCTGGTCCTTGTCAATTTTTTATTTGCTAAATTTGAGAATTCCATAACTATTAGATTTCGTACTCTGGGTGGTTTAAGACCGTTATTAAAGCTACAAGTGTGTTGACCCTCAAAGGATTTAAAGTTTAGATTGTCTTAGCTGTTTATCAGCCAGATTTTGACATGTAGACAACTCCCTATGGACCTATTGACTGATTTTATATCTGTAATAGACAAAAACTTGAAAAAAAAATTTCTAAATAAAATTTAACTTTTGTAGTTGAAACTGAGAAGGAAACAGTGGTTTTTGCTTTGTTTTTCTAAAAACACAATCTTTTCAAGTGAGGAGTTCACTTAACTCTTCCAGGATGCCTAGTTGCTGTCAGAAATAGAAAAACATTAATGAATTGTTTTGCTGGGTCTAGTTTACATTAAGTAAGTTGAGTGGTATTTCACTGAGTTTTAATGAATTATTGGCCCTTAGAGGTGGCAGAAACTTGTAGAGAATTCATCAGAGCAGACACTAAAAGGAACAGGTTGTTTTTCAATGAACACTAATTTATCTTTCTACCTAATTTTCTCTAGGTTATTTTGATCTTTATATTTTAAATGTTTGAAATTGGGTTAACTGTAGATTGAGGGTTTTTTTGGTTTTATTTTTGTGTGTGTGACAGGGTCTTTATGTAGCACTGGCTGGCATGGAACTCTTAGGTAGACCAGGTTGGCCTTGCTCCCACAGAGATCCTGCCTAGCTCTGGCACTAAAGGTGTGTGTCACCACACCTGGCCTGTAGATTGAGTTTTTAAAGCAGTTCATCATTGGTGTTTTCTAGGTTGGCTACAGATTTGGCCTAAGAGTAGTTATTCTTTAAAAGATAAGAGTCGTCTTAAAGGAGTTCTTTAAAAGGGAACAAGTTCTCTCCAAATTCCCCCCCCCCCACTTTTCTGTGTTTGCTAATTTAATTTTTTTCTTTGTTTCAGATTGAAGTGAGTGAATTCAAATATAATTCAAGCTTATTAGAGGGCTTTTAAAAAAATAAGTTGATTTGGTGCATGAGAGCAAGTTGCTGCTGCTTACAGGTGCTTGCCTGAATTGCAATAAAGGACTCATATATTGAGCAAGACTTATTTATCTCTTCGTTTTGGAGAGCCTAATAAACTGTTATTACAGTTTCTCTACTGACTTTGAAAAGTTTTGAAGTTTGAACGAGACACCTTTGCAATTAACACAGCATGAGTACGGCCAGAACAGAGAACCCTGTTATAATGGGTCTGTCCAGTCAAAATGGTCAACTGAGGGGCCCTGTGAAGCCCAGCGGTGGCCCCGGAGGAGGGGGCACACAGACACAGCAACAGATGAACCAGTTGAAAAACACCAACACAATCAATAATGGCACTCAACAAGCACAGAGTATGACCACCACTATTAAGTAAGTGTTAGAAAAGAGTGGGCACTTGGAGAACCATGGTTGTTTATTTTTGTTGTTGACAACTTTATGCCTTAATGTAACCGTTTTGATGGATGGCAGATGACTTTGTTTTATAACCAGTAGGTATTCTGCCATAATTAATGCAGCAAGTAACGAATATAGGCATATATCTATAAAAAATTTTTAGAAACAATTCAGGTCTTCATAGCTCAGTGTGGAAGTTAGTAGCTGAGTTAATGAATAAAATGATCCTATTTCAGTTTTTGAGACAGGATTTTACTCTGTAGCCCAGACTGATCTGAAACTCAGAGGCATCCTTCTGTCTCAGCACCCCAAGGGCTGGGATGACAGGTGTGAACCACCATAACTTAGTTTTTGTTTCATCGGTACAGTCCTATAGTTAGTTACCTCTGCACCTTACCGTACTCTAAGTGGCAGTTAAAGCCAATTTTAAAATGTTTGAAAAAGGCCATTTCGAAGACTTGGTTGTTTTTAGATATAGGGTCTCATTTTGTAACCTTGGCTGGCTTGGATCTTGATGTGTAGACCAGGCTGGTTTTGATCTTGTTAAGTAGAAACTTTCAGAACTAGGCCTCTGGGGCTGGTGGATTGCCATAAAGTTCAAGACTGGCTTCGGTTACATAGTGTGTCTAAGGCCTAGCCTGTACTACATAATGAGATCCTGTCTCAACCCCGCCTCCTGCCAAGAAAAACCGTGTTTCTTCTGTGAGTTTTTTGTTAAACCTTTTTTCTTTTTTTTCCTTTTATAAATATACAGAATAAGTCATGGAAACATAAACACTGAATTTTTTGGGGGGGGGTTAAGCTTAAAATGCAATTTTTTGAGACAAGATCTTGATAGGAAATTCAGGCTATCTTTGAACTGTGGAACCCAAACTGGCTTTGAACTTGGAATCTGCCTGCTTCATAACACTTTCCGAATGGTCATGGGTCACCATACCTTACTATAGAATTAAAAAAAAAAAAAATTCTATGTATGAGTGTTTTGCTTGCGTGTATATGTAAGTACACATGTGTACAATGCCTTTGGAGGCCAGAAGAACATTTGATCCTCTGGAAGTGGAGTTACCAATGTTGTTAGGGTGCTGAGAACCAAACCCAGGTCCTCAATAACAGCAGCCAATGCTCTTAACTGATGAGCCATCTCTCCGGCCCCAAATCTAAACATTTTAAATGGAAAATACTCAGAATGAAGTATTTGTCTGTCCTTAACAGAAAAGAGCCAGGTATGGTGACACACTCCTTTAGTCCTAGCACTCAGGAGGCAGAGGCAGGCTGATCTCTGTGAGGTCAAGGCCAGCCTGGTCTACATAGTGAGTTCTAGGCCAGCTGGGGATACAGGGAGACCCTGACTTAAAAAGACCAAAAAAGAACAGAAAAGAGACTTAATTTTGTTAGCTTGCTCATATATATGTTAAGACAAACTACAGTTGTACTCATTACTATAGTAGTTAAAACCAATTTTGTGGGAATTCTTACAGTGCATTAGTGAATTACATAAGAGTAATCTGTATATTCTAGTAGCTTGAAAAGACTTTCTCTAGGAAGACAAAGATCCAGGTTCCAAAAAATTAACAATACAGTTCAAGCTGGGCATGGTGGCATGCACCTATAATCCTAGCACTATGAGGCTGAGACCAAAGCAAACTCACGAATGGAAGCCAAACAAGTCTGGAAAGTCCCTGTCTCAGAAAAAACAAACAAACAAAAAAACAACAGTAAAACAGTACACCTAACATCCTCTTTTGCCTTCATTGGGCATTGTGTGCACATGGTACACCTACATACGTACACAAAACGTTCCTATACATAAAGATTAAAATTTTAATTTGAGATAGCAGTTAGGTTTTTCTTTTCCTGAGATTAATGGTTTCTTTTCAATTCTGTCATTAATTTTCTCATTTTTTCAACTTTTAAGGTATATTTATAATAATGTCTTGTGTGATTTTTTTACATTATATTTTAGGAATTCACAATTGTGCTTGACATTGAACTGGCAAGTTGGCCTACTAGGATGTTGAACTGAGATTTGCTTAGACAGTTCAACAGTGTAGGCCGAGGCCAGAGAATCATGAGATCAAGGCCATCCTGGACTATATATAGCAAGATCCTATTTTTTTTTTTTAAAAAAAAGGGCCGGGCGTGGTTGGGCACGCCTTTAATCCCAGCACTTGGGAGGCAGAGGCAGGCGGATCTCTGAGTTCGAGGCCAGCCTGATCTACATAGTGAGTTCCAGGACAGCTGGGGCTACAGGGAGAACCTGTCTCAAAAAGACAAAAAAAAAAAAAAAAAAAAATTTTTTGTTAAATAAAAAAAAAAAAAAAAAAAAAAAAAAAAAAATTTATCTGTTAGAGTATTTACATTTTATGTAGGCTTTAACTTTAGATAGATCAAGCCTTTAAGGTGTTCTGGGGACTAATTACATAAGAACAGTTGTATATTTTGACACCAGGTCTGGTGGCTCATGCCTTTAATCCCAGCCCTCAGGTGGCAGAGGCAGGTGGGTCTCTGTGAGAATGAGGCCAGCCTGGTCCACATAGTGACTTCCAGGTAGGTTGGGACTAGGGAGACCTGTCAAAAAAAAAAAATTGAAAACTTTGTTTTGAAAACAATATAGTTGAAAGCATTGTCTGGAAATGTTTCTTGACAATCTTTTCAACATCTTAAGTGGCTATATTTAAGATTTTTACCTGACCAAAAGATAATTATATTTTTATTATATTTTCCTTGTTGTATTTTCATAGTTTGGAGCATTTCTGGGAGAAAAGATTGAAGTGTCCATTATCAGCTAATACTAAGCTCTTATATTGCCAGGCACAGTACTGACTGCTTACATTAATTAATAATGATTAATAATAATTATTATTATTGGCCTTTTTGAGATAGGGTCTCTCTGTATCTGCAGCTGACCTGGAACTCACTATGTAGACCAGGCTGTCCTCTCACAGAGATCCACCTGCCTCTGCCTCCCAGGTGCTGAGATTAAAGGCATTCCCCAACAAAAAAAATTTTTTTTTAAAGAAAAGCAAAAGTTTAGTTACTAAGTTCTACCAAACTTAGCATACAGGAATTTGAAACATTGTTGTCAAAGCAGTATGGTCCCTGAAGTAATACGGATTGAACCTAGGGTAGCTTTTCAAGAAAATCCAAAAAGAATCTGAATTTTTTTTTTTTTTTTCTTTTTGTTTTGTTTTTGAGACAGGGTCCCGTTGTAGCCCCAGCTGGCCTGGAACTCACTGTGTAGACCAGGCTGGCTTCAGTCTCAAAGAGATCTGCCTACCTCTGCCTCTCTAGTGATAGGATTTAAGGGGGGGGGGGGGTCTGCCACCATGCCCAGCTGTATGAAATCTTCTAATTAAAAAGAATACTATAGAGAGTAAACACAGCCTGTTTCTGACAAATGTACTGTAAACAATACTTGTGCTCTTAAGAGAATGGATACCCTAATCCCTTCTGTTCTTGATTTTTGAGCCTCTTTAATTTTCTTTCTTTCTTTTTTTTTTTTTGGTGTTTTGAAGCAGGGTCTCCCTGTGGCCCCAGCTGTCCTGGAACTCACTATGTAGACCAGGCTGGTCTTGAAGATGCAGAGATCCGCCTGCCTCTGCTTCCCAAGTGCTGGGACTACAGGCATGTGCCACCATGCCCGCCTTATCCTCTTTAATTTTCCAAAGAACATGTTCTCTAAAATTAACTCTCATTAATTATATTAAGTACATGACAATGTATTAAATTTACTGTGCTTTTTATAGCTTAATATTTGAGATGTTTCATTTTGTAGTAAGTAGTATGCTATGAATTTTGTGATACTTTACATTTACTGTATTCTCTTTAGACCTGGTGATGACTGGAAAAAGACTTTAAAACTCCCTCCAAAGGATCTAAGAATCAAAACTTCGGTATGTTAAGCTATAGAATTCAAATGGAAAAATGGGGAAACTAAGATTTTGTTGTAAAGTAATTGCTTGTAACACCACTTGAGTGTAATCTTTTTGTTGCTTTGAGATAGTGTCTCCCTATATAGCCCAGGCTTGCCTCAAGCTCTTGCTTCTTACTTCCTTAGCTTCAGGAGTGCTGGGGAGTATAGATGTGGACCACCAGGCTGGCAAAGAGAATTTTTTATTTTATTTTGAGGTTTCTTTTGCCTTTTTTTTTCCCTTTGCTGGGGGTGGGGGATGGAGTGGGCAGACTCACTCTATAGGCAGTGCTCTATGTGTTTAGTCTTCAAGTTATTTAAAATGGTTGCAATTGTATAGATCATACATATATGTTAGATTGCCAAGATTTTGGTAAAATTATATAATAATGAGGTGTTAATATATATTAAATATTGTGATTATACATATGCACATCTTCGCTAATTTTCTCCAAGTTTTTCTTTTTGCTTCCAGTGAGACATTCAGGTTAGATATTGTTTCTACTCTGTATATGACTATAAGAACAAACGCTCAGAGAAGTTCTCTTGGTTTTTTTTTTATGTGTATGTGTGTGTGCCCAAGGCAACATTTAATAATAGCTAGAGATATTTTTGGTAATCACCCCTGGATCCTACAGGATCAGCTTCTCAAAGCAATTTTCTGACCCCAAATGTCAATGGTGCTGTGCTTGATAAACCCAGACATCACAAAAATACTGATAATCATGTAAGTAGGATTTGGTTACACATATTTTAATTAGTAATTGATTGACTGGTACTTGGTAGAAATAGTCTACCTTAGACTGTGAAACAGGGTCTCTCTGTAGCCCTAGCTGGCCCGGAACTCACTGTGTAGACCAGACTAGTCTGGACTCATCTCACAAGATCTGCCTGCCTCAGCCTCCTGAATGCTGGCCCAAAGAATTTTTTTTTTGTATGTGTATGTCTTTTTGAGACAGGGCCTCCCTGTAGCCCCAGCTGGCCTGAACTTGCTGTGTAAACCAGGCTGGCCTGGAACTCATAGGGAGTCCCGGCGCGGAGGGCTGCCCTATAGACTTAGCCCAAGAGGCCTCTCTTTATTGTATTTTTAAATGTTTTGTTTTTATTTTATATGTATGAGTGTATTTCCTGAGTGTTCATAAGTGCACACATGTTGTGCAATGCCAGGGGAGGACAGAAGGTGGTTTCTGATCCCCTGGAACTGGAGTTACGGACAGCTGTTGGCTGCCATGTGGGAGCTGGGATTTGAACCTGGGTCCTCTGTAAGAACAGTCAGTGTTCTCAACTGCTGAGCCATCTCTCCAGCCCCCCAAAGAATATTTTTTAGGTGGTGTATATTTGTTAAAGATTATTCTCTAGGAAAAGTTGAAATACAAATTAAAACAGTAGTTACCTATATATATTTAAGATGAAATCGCTGGGCGTGGTGGCGCACGTCCCAGCTCCCAGCACTAAAGGCAGAGGCAGGCAGATCTCTGTGAGTACAAGGCCAGCCTGATCTACATAGTAAGTTCCAGGACAGCTGGGGCTACAGGGAGACCCTGTCTCAAAAAGACTAAAAAAAAAATAAAGAAGAAAGATGAAATGAAGAGTTCAAGTCTTGCCAGACAAATTTGTAATATGCTTACTACAAAAGAACCTAGGTTGTATTTTATTTCATTTTATTTGTTTGATTAGGATGTGACCTCCACAAAAGGAAATGAGTTTGAAGATTACTGTTTAAAACGGGAGTTGTTAATGGGAATTTTTGAAATGGGCTGGGAAAAGCCATCTCCTATTCAGGTATGTTTGCCCATTTTATTACATGAAGGTCATGTATCCTACATTAATACATTTTTCTTTCTGATCTGTGGGAATGGTATATATAACATGTATAGTACATTTCTGACTTTTAAAAGTGTTTTGGGGTTGTTTTTTGTTTTTTGTTTTTTTGTTTTTTTGTTTTTAAGACTTTCATCTACCCTAGACTGGCCTCAAATTTGAAGTGTTGCTGAGGCTGGCCTTGAATTCTTGGTCTTCTTCCCTCAACCTCCCAAATTCTGGGATTATAGGTGTGCGTGACTACACCAGTTGTTTTCTAAACTTCTTAAGGTTAAGTTGCAGAATCATGTCCCTTCTTTTTGGTGTGTATATCCTGAGAATGAAGATTGTGTGTGTGTGTGTGTGTGTAGAAGTAAAAGGTCAACAGGAGTTGGTTGTTGAGTACTATTGGATCAGCAAGTACCTTTATTCACCAAGTCATCTTGCTGGCTCTGCTGTTTTGTTTTTGGTTTTTAATTAAAATTTTAAAAATTATTTTTATGTGTATGAGTGTATTGCCTGCATGTATGTAAAGTGTACCTGTGTCATGCAATGGCTGTGGAGGTCAGAAGAGGGTGTCGAATTCCCCTGAAACTGGTGTTATGGACCATTGTTAGCTGCCATGTGAGTGCTGGGACTTGAACTCAGGTCCTCTGCAAGAGGTCTCCTTAACCCCTGAGCCATCTCTTCAGCCCTCTGTTTTTTGAGATAGGGTCTCATGTAGCCTAAGCTAGCCTGCATGGTACTGAGAATTGAACTCAGGATTTTGTACGTGCTAGGCAAGCACTCTACCAATTGAGCTATACACCCAGTTTCTTTTCCTTTTTTCCCCCTTAGCAGACATTTCTTGTGGCTCCATATGATTAGATTCAAGTCATGCTTTCTCAGCAAAAATACTGCAGAAGTCATGTTGTAGCCTTCTGAGAGTATCACACTTGAAGGTGTATGCAGTGTCTGTCTAGGCCCAGTTTAGTGATATTATTCATTCTGATTATCTTGTCTAGCTGTTTTCTGATTTTTATTTTTTCATTCCTAATATATGACTACTGCTTTTTACCCCCTCCCTTAAAACTAATAAACATTCTGGAAAATAAGACCATGCAAGTACCTTTCACTTCATCCTAATTTCCTAATTACTTTGGTAGTTTCCTAATTAATCATCCTTGGGTTCTTTCTTGGTCTCATCTTTTTGGATTATAAGGAGTTTGAGATATGCCCTGCTGAGAATTTAACCTAGGGCCTTGCTCAATGCTAGGCAAGTGTTCTACCACTGAGTTCCATTCCTGGCCCTTCCTTCACCTTTCCTTCTTTATGCATTATTGGTATGGGCTCATGCCTTTTTAAAAAATGGTGTTTTTAGCCAGGCCTGGTGGCTCACACCTTTAGTCCTAGCACTTGGGAGGCAGAGGCAGGAGGATCTCTGTGAGTTCAAGGCCAGCCTGGTCTAATACAGTGAGTTCTAGGCCAGCTGGTGCTGTAGGGAGACCCTGTCTCAAAAAGACACACCTCCCCTCCCAAAATGGTGTTTTTATGTGCTTAGTTGTCACAGGTTTGGCTCCTTCAGGCTAACTTTTTGTGATATGCTCGTTTTTCTTGAGCCTGACCTTATTTTTTGGTGTATATGATGCCAGAATTATTTCTCTTAAACTTACTGAGTCCCTGGGACCAATACACTCCTCCACCCGAACCTCCTACCCCTGCTTGGTTACAGATACATACCACCATACCTGGTTGTTTGTTTCTTTTGGTCTTTTTGAGACAGGGTCTCCCTGTAGCCCCAGATGTCCTGGAACTCACTATGCAGACCAGGTATGCGTCACCACGCCTGGCCATGCCTGGTATTTTATGTGGATGCTAGATCCAAACTCAGATCCTTGTGCTTGTACAGCAAGCACTTCACCCACTAAGCCATTTTCCAGCCCCTGAAGGTGATCTTGAACTTTGAATTTTCTAACCCTGACTCCACTTTATGGGATAACAGGAGTGAAATACCTTTCCTTCTTTATCAAATGTGTAAGTGAAATAGACTATTACATGAATATGAAATATTATTTTTTAGATAACGTAAGACCACCAAGTGGTCTTTACTGCCTTTTTCCTTCCTCTTTTGTCATGGAGTCTGTGGAAACCATAAGACAGTGTTCCTTAGAATCATTGAGTTGAGAAATCAATATTAGAATTTTAGAATAGGGGCTGGAGAGGTGGCTCAGCGCTTAGGAGCACTGACTGTTCTTGCAGAGGACCCGGGTTTGATTCCCAGCACCCACATGAAGGCTACAAATCGTCCTTAACTCCAGTTCCAGGGGAATCCAATGCCCTCTTCTGACCTCTGCAGCATTGCACAAAACGGGTGCAATCACATACATGTAGGCAGTACACTCATACACATAAAATATTTAAAAAAAATTTTTTTTTAAAGAATTTTAGAACCAAAAAATTTTTTTGTTGTTGTTCGGTGTTTTGGAGACAGGGCCTTCTGTAGCCCCGCTGGCCTGGAACTCAATTTGTAGAGCAGGCTGGCCTCGAACTCACAGCGATCCACCTGCCTGTGCCTCCCCAGGTCTGGGATTAAAGGCATGCACCACCACACCCTGGCCAGAACCAAAAGAATTTTAGGTCACTTAGTAAAATTGACCCACAGGATTGGCTGCTCCTCTGTCTTCCTCTCTTCTTTGTTTGGTTTTGGTTTGGTTTTGGTTTTGTCTTCCAGTAGCCCCAGCTGGCCTGGAATTCACTATGTGGACCAGGCTGACCTTGAACTCACCAAGATAATCCTGCCTCTGCCTCCCGAGCACTGGGATTAAAGGCGTGTTCCATCAAGCCTGGCTCATTAAACGTTTTTTTCCAAATACTAAAGCTTTTCTTGATTAGGTAGATGAGTTGTCTGTATTTGAATTTTGGGTTTGTTTATTTAGCAGTTTTTTGTTCTTGAGATAGGGTATTACTCTGTGACCCAAGCTGGCCTGGAACTTATTATGAAGCCAGATTGTCCTCAAACTTGGAGCAGTCCTTGAGCTGTCCAGTGCTTATTAGACTTCAGAAGTGAGGCACCACTCCCAGAACCGCACACGCGTGTGTTCGTTCGTTCATGTTCGTGTGTTTATTTGTTCGTGTTCATGTGTATGCTCATGTGCATGCAGGTCAGAGGACAGCCTCACATGTTACTCCTCAGTCACCACTCCCCCTTTTTTTGAGATGGGGTCTCATTGAACTGGAACTCAACAACTCAGTGAGGCTAACTGACCAGTAAGCCCCAAGAATCCGCCTGTCTTTGCTTCCCTAGAGCTGGGATTACAAGCCCTTGCTATTGTGCCTGGCCTTTTTTTTTTTAACATGGGTTCTAGGGATCAAAGTCAGGTTTTGGTGCTTTCAAGTGAGCTTTCTAACCCTCCTGTTCCCCCCCCCCCTTTTTTTTTCCTTTGGCCTTTTTGAGAGTAGGTCAGGCTGGCCTTGAACTCACAGAGATCTGCCCGCCTCTGATTAAAGGTGTGGCGCCACCATGCCCGGCTCCAACCCCATTTTTAAAAGATCAAATTTAGTTGGGATTTGGCTATAAGATTATTGGAGAATGGGGAATATGAAATCGTGTGCTCTTAAAAGAGGTTTTACATTGACAAGTTGAATTAAGTACACAACAGATTGCTCTCATATATCTCTTGATGTAACCACTATAGCTAGTTCTTAGTTTGAGTTGTGTCCAGTCAAATAACTCACTCTAAAGTAGAGCAAACTCCTTTGGAGGACCTACAAATTCATTTGGATTTTCTAGTTAGCATTGTGAAACTTTATAACTAAGTTTGATGGCAACTCTTTATTTCTGTGTATTATGACATGTGTGATGTGTATGGGCACACGTGTGCCAAATGCATGTGTGGAAGTCAGAGGACAACCTTGAGTGTCAGTTGTTCCCCAGTACTTTGAGACAGGGTGTCAAAATTTCATACTGGGTCAAGAAACTCAAATTACTTTGTCAGGTCTGACAAGAATGGATAATTTATACTTTGTAATTATAACATCCTGAATCCTTTAGTGAATCATTCCTCTGGCTAATAAGGGATTAAGTAGGCTAAAAGAATTAAGTGCTTCTCTTCAAATTTCTCTACTGTTAACATTATAAAATTTGGATAGGTTCTTTATAATATTCTATTGGAAATTACTATTTTCTATCACTTTTTAAAAATATTTTTTTATTTTTATTTTATGTGTATGAGTGTATTGCCTGCATGTATGTGAGTGTACCCATGTTGTGCAGTGCCACGGAGGTCAGAAGAGGGCTTCGGATTCCCCTGGAACTGGAGTTAAGGATGGTTTGTAGCCGCCATGTGAGTGCTGGGAATCGAACCTGGGTCCTCTGCAAGAGCAGTCAGTGCTCTTAACCGCTGAGCCATCTCTTCAGCCCCTCTATCACTTTTTTTCTTTTACACACCCTCTCACTAAGTATCCCTGACTGGCCAGGAACTCAGATCCAACAGCTTCTGCCACCCTAGTGCTGAGATTAAAAGCATATATTACCATGCCTGACTTCTATCACCTTCTATAACTTCATAGTAACCCATAGTCAAATCACCTTGAAATTAAAGTTTGTTTTTCTTTCTTGAAAGAAACAGACGCTCTGTGTAGTCCAGGATGATCTCAAACTCAGGATGATCCTTCTCTCAGTACCAAGGTTATAGGCATGTGCCACCATGACCAGTGAAATGAAGGTTCTTTAAGCTTAAGAGCTTCGGGAAGAGAACAGAACTTACTCTAAATGCAGACAGGTGGCTCCTGCAGATGCTACTCTTCCAATATACCTCTCAGTGTTAGGAAATAGGGAAGTATAATAACATTCTTAGGTTGTAAGGAATATAAACTAACTGGTTCTAACTTAAGCAAAAGGAAATCAATTGAAGGAATAACAGAAATTCACAAGATTAATGTGAAGATGGAGAAACACCTTAAAAATGGCCCAGAGCTGACATAGCTCTGAAGGGTTTTGGAAGCTCTACAGCAATTTATAAGGTTAGGTTGTGTATCTACCACTTGATTTCCGAGATTGAGCAGACTTGATCAATTGTAGGAGGGACAGAGGATCTATTTCTTCAGAATGAACTGGGGTGCTATTAGAACAGGGATACTGTTATCTATTGGATCAGTCCCTAAACCTTACAGTGCAACATGGACTTAAATCTAAGGTGCTATGTCAGATCTAAAGTTGGGGGTTTTTGGTGGCGGAGGAGAAAGGAATTAGTATCCTTATTGAGACAGATCTCATATCAAATAGTCCACACAGAGTATTTAATTCTGCTAAGGTATTTGCAATCCCAGCACTTGGGAGGCTTAGGCAGCATTGCCGTTAGTTCAACACCAACCTGGGCTACATAGTGAGTTTCAGTCCAGCCTGGCCACAGAGTGAGACCCCATTTCAAAACAAATTAAAAAACACAATGTAAAATTCAATGACTTTTAATCCAGAGTTGTATAATCATGATCACAGCCTATTTTAGTACCTTTTCATCATTCTCAAGAAGAAAACTATTAGCCGGGCTTGGTGATGCACGCCTTTGATCCCAGCACTCAGGAGGCACAGGCGGGCAGATCTCTGTGAGTTCAAGGCCATCCTAGTCTATATAGTGAGTTCCAGCACAGCTGGGGCTACAGGGAGACCCTGTCTCAAAAAGACCAAAAAAAAAAGAAGAAGAAAACTATTTAGCATTCATCCTTCATTTTCCCCTAACTCTAAGCAATCAGTAGTCTGCTTTCTGTCCCTATAGCTTTACATCTTCTGTACATTTCATAGAAATGGAATTATTCAGTATGATTTTTTTGTGACTGGCTTCTACTGAACATAATGTTTTCATCTGTGTTTAGCGTGTATCAATATTCCATTTCTTTCTGTTGTCAAATAATATTCAATCACATAGCTATTGCATATTTGACTTATCCATTCATCAACTGATAGCATTTGAGTTGTTTCCTTTATTGGCTATTCTTAATAATTTTGCTCTGAATGTTTGTGTCAGTTATGTGGAGGGATGGAGATGTAACTCAGGTGGCAGAATGCTCTTCTGCTGTGTGTGAGGCCCTGCATAAAATGTCCAGGTGGCTTATGCCTGTAATCCCAGCACTGAGAGGCAGAGGCAAGATCAAGGCTAGCCTTAATTGCATAGTGAATTCCAGACTAGCATAGGCTATGTGAGACCTAATCTCAAAAAAAGTTTTCTTTAAAGAACTTAATATCATCCAGTCATTAGGAGACCCTCCTCAGAAACCAGTCATCTTAATTTTTTTCTGCTTCCGTAGCCTGCTTTATTTTCCTTCACAATGATTATCAGTGTCAGGAAGGGCATCATCTACTTATTTGTGCTCTGCTTCTGCCCTTGCCCCCACCCCCATAGAACACTGAGCTCTATGCCCGGAGGCCTTGTCCTTCTTGTCCTCTGGTGTGTCCTAGGTGCCTAGAACAGTGCCCAACACTGCAGGCATTCAATCTATGCTTACTGGTGGAAGATTTTTTTTTTCTTAAACTTCATTATTATTTTATGGGTATGAATGTATTGCCTGCATGTATGTGAGTGCACCTGTGCCATGCAATGCCTAGGAGGTCAGAAGAGGGCTTCAGATTCCTCTGGAACTGGACTTAAGAACGGTTCATAGCTGCCATGTGGGTGCTAGGAATCAAACCCGGGTCCTCTGTAAGAGCAGTCAGTGATCTTAACCTCTGAGCCATCTCTCCAGCCCCTGGTTGAAGATTTTTAGGTAGTTACTTATCTGAAGGCCCAGTGGGCTCTTTTTTTTTTTTTTTTTTTTTTTTTTTCCCAGTGCTAGGGATTGAACTCAGGACCTTGTGAATGCTAGGCAAGTGGTCTACCACCAGGCTACCCCATCCCCCATCTTAACATTTTTAATGCTATGGTACCATGTGTGGTTAGCCTGTTTAAAAACACACACACACACAAGTCTGTAAGAGGATGAACCTGTAGCAATAATGGCATCTCCTGGAACAACTGAAGATTAAGAAAATTGACTCAGCAGGAAGGAGGAAATTGAGACCAAAGGGTCAAAGTCAAGGTTTTTCTTCTCTGACTACCATAATGAGGCATTAATGCTGCCTGTGAGACTAAGGTACATTATCCAACTGGACCATTTCCATGGTCTGGCAGCTGTCTTACTCTGACCATCTGGCACCCATCTGACTCTTGTGACTTAGGTTCTAGGTCAAAAGTATATCGTTAGGGGTTGGGGATTTAGAGTGCTTGCCTAACATGCACAGAAACGTGGGTTTATCCTTAGTGCTTAAACCAGACATTGTGCTGTGGTGAGCTGGGCATGGTGGTGCATGACTTGTACTCCCAACACTCGAGGTAAAGGCAAGAGGATCAGTAGTTGAAGGTCATCTTAACTACATAAAGGAAGAAAATTTATAATGGTAGGAGATGGCAGTCATGCTGTTTATGACTTATTTCTTTAATAGTTTTTTTAAATGCAGAGAACTAGAGGTATTTCTTTTGGTAATTAACTTCCAAATATAGAAGGAACTATAACAGTGATTATGAATCTGTTTATATTTTCCTTTTATTTTTGGTTTTAGAAATTTAAAATTCTGTATTTTCTTCTAGCATGTAACCATCTAGTTGAATTTTTCAGCCATTCATTGTATAGTTTAATTTTAGTTCCAGATAAGAGAGATCAGTGGTTTTTCCTGACTCTTGCTTTGTCACTGTCAACAGGATACTGGTCAGTGACCAGCATTTTTTAGCGTTTTAAGTGCCAAATAGGACTTGAGGTTAAATGTTTTCAGCTTATTTCTATTTTGTATAAGGATAAGTTATACCTTATTTTTTTCTTGCTTTGAAATTTTTGTTGTACTGGAGATTGAACCAAAAACCTCACACATAGGGCTACCCATGCACTCTTATTACTGATATCCACTCCCAACCCAGTGCACAGATTTTCTCTGTGGTTAAATTAGCTTACTGTCTGTGGTTAAATTAGCTATATTATCTTTCCTTGAACTGCTTTGTAATATTTTTTTCTGTTTCTTTTTTTGTTTTAATTTTGGGGGTTATTTTATGTGTACGAGTGTTTTGCCTGCATGTATATAAGTTGGTATCCGCTATGTGGGTGCTGGGAACTGAACTCAGGTCCTCTATAAGAGCAGCCAGTGTGTTCTTAACCACTAAGCCATCTTTCCAGCCCCTGTTTGTGTGTGTATGTGTGTGTGTTTGTTTGAAGATAGGATCTCTTAAAACTCAAGCTGACCTTGAACTCTTACCTCCTACCTCTACCTCCCAAGTGCTGGAATTACAGACATGTGCTACTTACTATACTTGGCCATATTTTGATTTTAATGGAAATAGTCTTTATTCAAGTGCTTTTTATAGCTCTTTGAGTTTTGGTGTTTTTTTTTTTAAGTATTACATAAGCCGTTTATATTTTTTTAATATTTTATTTTTATTCTTTTTATTTTATACATGTACAAGTGTATTGCCTGCATGTATGTGAGTGCACCCGTGTTGTGCAATGCTGTGGAAGTCAGAAGAGGCCTTCGGATCCCCCTGGAACTGGAGTTAAGGACGGTTCGTAGCCACCATGTGGGTGCTGGGAATCAAACCCGGGTCCTCTGCAAAAGCAGTCAGTGCTCTTAACTGCTGAGCCAACCATCCAGCCCAGAATGTTGACTTTCTTGTTCTCTAAATTTAATTTTTAAGTAAACGACTTATGGGGCTGGAGAGATGGCTCAGTGGTTGAGAGCACTGACTGTTCTTGCAGAGGACCCGGGTTCGAGTCCCAGCACCCGCATGGCAGCTACAAACTGTCCTTAACTCCAGTTCCAGGGGAATCCGAAGGCCTCTGCTGCCCTCCACAGCATTGCACAACACGGGCGCACTCATATACATGCAGGCAATACACTCGTACACATAAAAATAATAAAATATTTTTTAAAGTGTTACAAGAAAGTCAACATTCTATATCCGATTCAAATTTAAGTAGAATTATACTGAGGGTGGTGGTTTTGGGTTTTGGGGTTTTTTGGGGGGGCAGATCTCTCTGTAGTCCTAGCTGGCCTGTAGCTCACTATGTAGATTGGGCTGGCCTTGAACTCACAGAGATCTGCCTGCCTCTGCCTCCTATGCTGGGATTAAAGATGGATGTGTGCCACCATGCCCAGCCATTATGCTGAGGTTTTGTTTGTTTGTTTGTTTCTTTGTTTTTTTAGCTTTTTGTTACATTGGGATATAGAACTCAGTACATTCTGTGAGCAGTTTTGGTTAACAAGTTTGGTGATGTTTGCTGGTCCTGCTATTCACTTGAGTCTTTGCCATTCCTGTCAAGTACATACAGGACACTTCAAAGCAGTACTAAAAGGATGTTCTTCAGTGTAACTTAGAGAAGATTTGGTTATGTTCTGCTTATTACCAAGTAATTTTGCATTGTCTTTTCTCTTAGGAGGAGAGCATTCCCATTGCTTTATCTGGTAGGGACATCTTAGCTAGAGCAAAAAATGGAACAGGCAAAAGCGGTGCCTACCTCATTCCCTTACTTGAACGGCTAGACCTGAAGAAGGACAATATACAAGGTTAGTTGGAGGAAAAAAAGGTGTGTGTATAAGTAATTAAAAACATCAGTTTAAGCCTTGGAGCTTTGTGGAAGTTTTTATGCTTGCTCAGAATTTGTACAGTCTAGGCTTGTTACTCTCTTCAGTTTTTGGCTTAATTGTCCTATGAAACTAATTCCCAACTTTTAAAAGGGATTTCTCAGAGCACTTTTACATGATACACAGTTTTGACAACATTCATATGAGATAAGCAAAGTATTATTGCCTTGTAGATAAAACTAAAAATGATGAGGTTAATTTAGTTGTCATTTATAAACTATGAAATTGAATTGTTTCTTGTATCTGTGTACAGAGTTCTTCTGTTATAAAGGCGTAAGCTTGGGGATTTAAGAGTTTAGGCAGTAGAGAAGAAATACATTTCTATAGTCCTATTCAGAGTAAGCTAATATAATTAAGATTTCACCTCTAAAGCTTTTTAATAAATACTCTAACTTTTGATTTAGAATTATCATCTCTCCTTATTTTAATATGATGTAAATAGAACCTGAGCAGCAGTAGTTTACTATTTGTTTAGATTAGTGAATTTATTACTGTCAAACAGATACAGTTTAGGACTCTTAGGAATAGTAAGCTGATAACGTGTTATGTCTGTGTGGAATGATAATTTTTATAGCTTCTTAAACTCTTTAACATATGACATGTTCTTTTTCCTCCCACTTTCTTCTGTTCAGCAATGGTGATTGTTCCCACTAGAGAACTTGCTCTACAGGTCAGTCAAATTTGTATCCAGGTCAGCAAACACATGGGAGGGGCCAAAGTGATGGCTACTACAGGAGGAACCAATTTACGGGATGATATAATGAGGCTTGATGATACAGGTAAAAAATGTTCATTAAAAAGTACTTCCTTTTGTTTGTTTATTTTTAGACTCATTTTTAATTATGTTTTTGGGAGGCAGTTTGCATATGTGTGGGTCTTTGAAGAGGTTAGTGATGTTAGATCACCTTGGAGCTGGAGGCTCACTAACTAGGGTGCTGGGAACCAAACCTGGCCTTCAGTCAGAGCAATACGTGTTCTTTAATTGCTGAGCCATCTCTTCACTCCCCAAGTGCTTCCTTGTAGTAAATAAGCTTGACATAATGGAACATGGCTTTAATCTCAGCCCTTAGGAGGCAGAGGTATCTCTGTGAGATGGAGGCCAGCCTGGTCTACTCACTGAGAGTTCCAGGCCAGCTGGGGCTACAGGGAGACCCTATCTCAAAAGGATCACTACCCCCCCCCCAAAAAAAAAAACCTAAGTGAAGCAAGTATTTTTCTAGCTGTTGGGAGGTAAAATGGAAATATAGTAATTAGTATCTATATAAAATGTTGTACCAAATACATGTAAACGTCATGCATCTTTTTTGTTCAAGCTAAAATGAATGAGAATGTGTATGTTTTCTGAATTTTTCTTTTTGTTTTCTAAATCTCGTATAGTGCACGTGGTGATCGCTACCCCGGGCAGAATTCTGGATCTTATCAAGAAAGGAGTAGCAAAGGTTGACCATGTCCAGATGATAGTGTTGGATGAGGTAATGCCTCTTCATTTGAAAGGGTGCTGTGCTGTGCTGTGCTGTGCTGTGCTGTGCTGTGCTGTGCTGAGCTGAGCTGAGCTGAGCTGAGCTGAGCTGAGCTGAGCTGTACTGGTCTAGGTGATTGTGTCTCTGCTGCCATGCCCTGCTGTCCTATGCTGTTCTGTTTCTGTCTGGTCTGTGTTGTTTGGTCTGCTGTGCTATGCTATGATTTTCAGTGAATAAAGCAAAAGCTTTTTGTGTTTGCCCTTTGAATAAACACATGAGTGGTCAATTTAAACTAACCTTGCCTCTGAAAACATACTTTTCCTTCAAGGATAGCAGTTGATAAGCATTATAGAAGCTCATTCTTCTCACTGTTTTAGGGATGCCAGATAATTGGATTCTATCTCTCTCTCTCTCTCTCTCTCTTTTTTTTTTTTTTTTTTCCTTTTTTCTCTTCTTCTTTTTTTTTTTCCTTTGGTCTTTCTGAGACAGGATCTCCCTATAGCCCCATCTGTCCTGGATTCACTGTGGAGACCAGGCTGGCCTGGAACTCACAGAGATCCACCTGCCTCTGCCTCCTGAGTGCTGGGATTAAAAGTGTGCGCCACCACGCCTGGCCAGTGAAGCATTTTTAAAAGCATGTAATGGCCTGGCATGGTGGCACAGGCCTTTGATCCCAGCGAGGCAGGCAGATCTCTGTGAGTTCAAGGCTAGCGTGGTCTATATAGTTCCAGGACAGGTGGGGCTACAGGAAGACCCTTTCTCAAAAAGACCAAAAAAAAAAAGGCATGTAATGAATGAGTGTCTTTAGCCCTCATTTTGTAGAAGCTACTTTACATTGTTTGGTTTATTTGTTTCTATTGCATTTATTTGCTCATTGGGCTTATAACTTGATATAAGTGCCTTTTAAGAACTTAGCCTGCCGTAGTGATACATGTCTTTAATCTCAGTACTGGGAGGCAGAGGCAGGTGAATCCCTGTGAGTTTAAGTCCAGCCTGGTCTACATTCTGAGTTCCAGGCCAACAGGGCTACATAGTGAGACCCTGCTTCAAGAAAAAAAAGAAAAAAATGAATTCAGTTGTATCTCTGGAATCCAGTGTTTTATGCATGTAGCCCATCACTGTTGGTTTTATAACACAGTTATTTTCCTGTCTGGTTTTTTTTAGATAGCTAGTTCACTGATCAATCAGTAAGTAATGAAAAATAACACTAAGCATTATGTCAACATCACTTACCATGTTTTTATGTAATCTTTACAGTCTAATCGGTATAGACATCCCATAAAGTTGTTACTGCTCCCTGTAGATAACCCAATTTCACAGTTGAGAAAACTGAAACACAAAATAGTATCTCAATAAAACTAATGAGTAAGACACTTCAAGTAGTTTGACTTCAGATCCTGGTTTGGTTTGGTTTTGTAATAGGGTCTTGCTGTTTAACTTAGGCTGGCCTTGAATCCACTACCCTGTTCAGGCCTCTGCCTCCTGAGAGCAGGATGTGTACTACCACACACAGATCAGAACCTGTATTTTTGATCACTATACCATATTACCTCTTTAGCAGGAATTACATTTTTCTTTTTTTTTTTCTTTTCTTTTTTTTTTTGGGGGGGTCTTTTTGAGACCTGTAGCCCCAGCTGTCCTGGAACTCACTATGTAGACCAGGCTGGCCTCAGACTCAGAGAGATCCTGCCTGTACCTCCAAGTGCTGGGATTAAAGGCGTGTGCCACCACACCTGGCTTGCAATTATCACCATGTTTCGAAGCCTCCAGAGCCCGGCTGGGAGCAAGGATTTTAACAATCTAGATTTGGGGTGGGGGCGGGGGGATCTTTTTGAGACAGGGTCTCCCTGTAGCCCCACCTGGCTTGGATTTGCTGTGGAGAACAGGCTGGCCTCGAACTCAGCAGAGATCCACCTGCCTCTGCCTCTTGAGTGCTGGGATTAAAGGCATGCACTACCACACCCAGCATTTTTTTCTTTCCTCTTTAGATAGGGATTATAGCTTCCTCTTCCTGCTTTTCAGACCATCTCATCATATAGCCTCAACTGAAATCAACTCTCAGTTTTCCTGCCCCAGGCTCCTAAGTGCTAGGATTACAAGTATATGTTACTATACGTGGCTACTTTCCCCTTCTGAGTTACTGGGAATTTGTCTTGCCATCATTGGACAGAGTGGTATTGAAGAGAGCTTACTGTTTATAACCAGGAACAATCCATATATATTCTCACTAGACTATGCTTTGCCCTTCACCCATATACTAACTGAAAACTCCAGAAGTCTTCATTGTTTTTAAAACTGTCTTTTCTTTATATTACAGGCAGATAAGTTGTTGTCACAAGATTTTGTGCAGATAATGGAAGATATTATTCTTACGCTACCTAAAAATAGGCAGATTTTACTATATTCCGCTACTTTCCCTCTTAGTGTACAGAAGTTCATGGTAAGTATTAAATTGGTACTTGGAATCCATGTCATCATGTTACCTATTGAATATTTTACCCATAATTATTTCTAGAGTGTATGCTTTATGCTATTTCAAAATTTTCCTTTTTCAGCCGGTCGTAGTGGTGCACACCTTTAATCACAGCACTTGGGAGGCAGAGGCAGGTGGACCTCTGAGTTCAAGGACAGCTGGGGCTACAAAGAGACCCTTTCTCAAAAAGACCAAAAATAAGTGTTTTTTCACTTGGTGATTAAAGATTTGTGCTTGTATTCTACTTTGGGAGTTGAGTTATAGGGTTTGTTGTTGAGACAGGGTCTCCCTGTACCCCTAGCTTACTACTATGTGAACCAGTCTGGCCTTGATCTCATAGAGATCCACCTGCCTCTGCCTCCCAAGTGATGGGATCAAAGGTGCGAGTCACCATACCCAGCTATTATATTTTTTAGGTTGTAATTTTATTAAATTCTTATTTTTTATTTAGCCTTTAGTGTCAGGCTGGCATATCCCTTTGATGCTAGACAAATTGGTTACAGCATCCTGTATACAAAACATGGCTACCATGAAACTGGGTTACCTTGAACTCGTGATCTTCCTGTGGCAACCTCCTGAGTAGTAGGACAGGCTTACATCACCCTACCCAGCTCTAACTTAGCTACCTTTATGAATCCAAGGGCTGTAAATTTATTCTATGTATACTTATTTTGAAGAGATGCATTCCTTAAAACAAGAGGCAAAAAATATGTAGATTTTGGGACTAGAAATAGGTTCGGGGTAGAGCTCTTACTTGGGATACATAAGGCCCTAGATTTAGTCCACCATCTAAAAAGAAAGACATGTATGTATTTTCAATTTAAGAAAGAAACTTGGCCTTCATTTGAATTCTCTCCCCCCACCCCCAAGAATTCCCATCTGCAGAAACCCTATGAGATTAACCTGATGGAGGAACTAACTCTGAAGGGAGTGACCCAGTACTACGCATATGTAACTGAGCGCCAAAAAGTGCACTGCCTCAACACACTTTTCTCTAGGGTAAGTGGTGAGTTTTTGCTGCTGAGTCCTCTCCTCCACTGAGTCCCCAGTAAGTGAACAGTTGTGACATTTGTCACATCATGTTCACTGTCAAAAGTAGTAGTGTTTCTTAAATAACAGTTTCAGTCGGTCTCAAATTGAAACTGATTGACACAGGCACTTTAATTTTATTGTAAAATAATTATATCTAATTGCAGTTTGTCCTCAGTATTCAGATTCTGTCTTTGTGAATATGCCTAATTGTTAAAATTTATAATCCCCAAATCAGTACTGAAGGTACTCTAATGGTCATTTTGTAGACATGTGCAGTGCAGTGTAGCAAAAATTTTGATCCCAGTTGAAGTCCAAGAAGAAGACATTCTGCCTTTTTGCTTCAACTTCATGCTATAAATCCATTTCATAGGTTTTCATCTTTGTGAGTTCACTCTAAAACTGGCCTTGTACTCCTGCTGAAATGTTGACCTGTACTTTGAGCACAGGAAGGCTGTTGTGTCTTGCAGAGAAAATGCGGTTAGATAAGCTTTCTGTAGGCATGGGTTATAGTGGTTTTAGCTGTGGGTGTATTAAATAAGGCATGCTCAAACAGAAAAACAAAAATACATACTTACCTATTTACAAAAATGTGATGAGAGGCTTATAGGAACCTAGCTTAGTATTCCCTGAAAGCTGTGTGGTTCTTTAAGAAGTTTTTTTAAAAATTAGATGAGAGAGGGGTGGGGGGGGGGATCAGTTCCTCATGGAGTCCAGAAGAAAGCGGTGGATCCCCTAGAGCTGGAGTTATGGGGGGTTGTATGAGCTACCTGACACGGGTGCTAGGAACTGAACTCGGATCCTCCACAAGAACAGCACTCTCTTAACTGCAAAGCCATGTCTCCAGCCCTGAAGCAGTGGTTCTTATTTAATTCAATGTTTGCATTGACTTTATAGAACGTAACCACTATGGATAATGGGTCTCTGTATTTTAATCTTTCTGACAAGTAGGTGGCCTTTATGAAATATTCTTCTGCAGTAGAATATTGTTGACAGTTGTTGGCAAAGCATAAAATATTGACAATTTTTATAACTTCCATCTTTCATCATGAAATTCTAAATTTTAGACTGTTTAAATTTTTTTGCCAGATAATTTCAAGATTGGCAAAGCAAATGCTTTTGTTATGGCTTGAACGATGGCTTAGCGGTTGAGAGCACTTGCTGTTTGTCCAGAGGGTTCAAGTCCCAGCACTCATATAGTAGCTAACAACCATCCATAACTCCAATTCCAGGGCATCTGACACCCTCTTCTGGCCTCTGCTGGGTACTGCATGCATGTGGTGCACTTACATACATGCAGGCAAAACACACATAAAATAAAAATAAATAAAATTTAAATAAAGCATTTAAACAATGCTTTTGTTGCCTGGCATGGTGGCACACGCCTTTAATCCCCAGCACTGAAGAGGCAGAGACAGGTGGATCTCTGAGTTCAAGGCCCATTCCGTATATTTCCAGGCCAGCAGGGGATATAGGGAAACCTGTCTCAATATATATATATGCGCTTACTTTTGGGGCTGGAGCAATGGCTCAGCAATTAAGAGCACTGGAGTACACTAGCAGCGGACCGGGGTTTGATTCCCAGGATCACATGGCAGCTATGAACCCTCCTAAACTCCAGTTCCCAGGGAATCTGAAGCCCTCTTCTGACCTCCGTGGCATTGCATGACACAGGTGCGCTGACATACATGCAGGCAATACACTCATACACATAAAATGAAAATAATAAATTTTTTTTTTTAATATGCTTTTGTCTTTCTCATGCTTATTTGTTCTGTGTTCAGCTTCAGATAAACCAGTCGATCATTTTCTGTAACTCTTCTCAGAGAGTTGAATTGCTAGCCAAGAAGATTTCTCAACTGGGATATTCTTGCTTCTATATACATGCTAAAATGAGGCAGGTGAGTATAAATATAGATTTTGCATAGATTGAACCAAAAAAAACTTTGCAAATATTTCTTATATTTTATTTTGTTTTAATGCTTCCCAATAAGGTATGAATCAGTGCTTTGTAAGCTATAAAGAATGATATAGAAATGTTGGATCTATTGGTTTGTGGCTAAAGTCCCAGAACTTGGGGTGGGGGAAAGGTATAGCGAACAGAAATTCCTGGTCATCCTCAGCTACATAGTGAGTTTGAAATCAGCTATACGAAATCATGCCTGGAAAAAACAGTTTTGTTCCTTAGTCGAATTGTCACATTTTGACTGTTTAGTTGGCTATCTGTGGCTGATGACTTCTTTATTGGAGAGCAGCAGTGTAGAACATTTATTACAGAAAGCACTGCTATAGGGGGATATGTTCCAAGAATCCCTGAAATGACATAGATACACCAAACTTTGTATATAGATACATACCTATGATAAAGTTTCCAGATTAGATATAATAGGAGATGTAATAACAGTAAAAATCAAATAGAATGAGATGCTGTCGTAAATGTTGGATGAATGTGATCTCTCAACACATAGTACTCTATTCATCCTTCTTGTGGGAACACTAGCAGATAAATGCTTACGTGATGAAGTGAGGTGCATCACACAGACCTTGTGAGTGATGTAGCTTTTGACTGCTACAGAAGGGTTACTTGAGGGGCTGGAGAGATGGCTCATCGGTTAAGAACACTGGTGGTTTTTACAGAAGACCCAGGTTTGAATCCCAGTACCCACATGGCAGCTAACAGCTGTCCATAACTCCAGTTCCAGGGGATCCAACAGCCTCTTCTGTCTTCCATGCATTGCACAACACGGGTGTACTTACCTATACGCAGGCAATGCATGCATACACATAAAATAAAACAATAATAATAATAAATTTTTAAAAAGAAGGGTTAGCCGGGCGTGGTGGCACATGCTTTTAATCCCAGCACTCGGGAGGCAGAGGCAGGTGGATCTCTGCGAGTTCAAGGCCAACTTGGTCTACATAGTGAGTTCCAGGCCAGCTGGGGCACTGTGAAACTGACAATTGATCTGATAACCAAGACAGTGCAGTGACATGGGTATTATGTGTTCATTGTAGATACACTGGACAGAGTGATTCACACTGTAGTGCAAGACTGTGTCATATTCCTCAGAAGGCTGTGGAATTTAAAATTTAGAGATTATTTCTGAAGTTTTCCATTAAAGTTTTTAGACCACGTTTGACTATGAATAATAGAAACCGGGAAAGTAAAACCAAAGATAAAGCTAAACTAGTATATGTGGTCTGTAAGCTGATTTTTCTTTTTTTGCCTCAAGGGGTATTATCTCTAAATTATAATTTTTTTAATATTTTACTATTTTTGTTTTATGAGTATATTGCCTGCATGTATGTGAGTGCACCCATGTCGTGCAATGCCGTGGAGGTCAGAAGAGGGCTTTGGATTCCCCTGGAACTGGAGTTAAGGACGGTTCATAGCCACCATGTGGGTGCTAGGAATCAAACCCAGGTCCTCTGCAAGAACAGTCAGTGCTCTTAACCACTGAGCCATCTCTCCAGCCCCTAAATTTTATAATTTAATAGAAAATAATTCAAAGCTGTAACAAGATGGCATTTAAAAGTTTAATTTTATGTTTATGAGTGTATTGCCTGCACATAATGTAAGTACACCCATGTCATGCAAGAGGGCATTGAATCCCTTGGAACTTGAGTTAGGATGGTTGTTAACTGCCATGTAGATGCTGGGAATCAAACCCAGGTTTTGTGCAAGAGCAGCCAGTGCTCTTAACTACTGAGCCATCTCTCCAACCCAAGGTCAAGTGTGGGGGGGGCACTAATAACTACACTGAAATTCCATTGGTGCTGAGCTGGGCATGGTGGTATACCTGTAATCACAGCACTAAGGCTTTAGGCAGGAGGACTGTTGATATAAGTCTAGTCTAGTCTACATCTCCAGACCTTTCTCAGAAAGAAAACCATTTCAGTATATTAACACTTTACCAACTTCACTCAAATTTGGTTTTGATTTTTCTTTTTAATTTGGTTGTGAATGGGGTTGAAGACCCTAGGTTTGGTCCTCAGCTCTGGGGAAAAAAAAGACAAAATAATTTGGTTGTGAAAGACACAAGTCATTTGCATAAACAGATTTGGATATAAAAAACTGATTGGCTAGAAGAAACTGATGAAAAATTTGGACTATATCAGTTTTCTGGTTTTGTTTCATTTGAGACAGAGTCTCTGTAGCCCCAGCTGGCTAGCTTCTTGTGTAGACCAGGATGGCCTCAGACTCACAGAGATGCTCCTGCCTCTGCCTCCCGAGTCCTGGGACTAAAAGTGTGTACTGACTGTGTATCAATTTTAATGAGAATTCATTGATATTCCCTCCCCTAGGAACATCGAAATCGTGTGTTTCATGATTTCCGAAATGGCTTATGCCGCAATCTTGTTTGCACTGGTAGGTATTTTTAGTATTTCTTTTGCCAGCTGTTTTCATTGTAACTCTGGATTGCTTTCTCTGTTTTAGTACAGCTTTGACATGGTTCATCATGCCCTCTACCATTTTCAGAATTTCTGAAGCTGAGAATAAACTATAGTTAATTCCTGACCATAGGCCCCATGTCTGAATCTGCAGACAGGTGCTGGTGACTGATATTCATCTTAGGCTTTTAAACTAGATTTTGGATTTGTGTGTTCTGAATAATTCTAGCTCACAGGACTCTTCTAACACAAAATGAAATATGCTAAACAGCTGCACTTTAGAGGTTGTATCCTCCCTCCCCCAGGATCAAACCAGTGTATATATTTGGTTGTTTCATTACATAGAGAAAAATAAAGCTGGGCAGGGTGAGGGAGGCAAGTCCATAGTTCAAACAAGACAAATGGATTCAGTACTTTTCAGTCTATATCCTTGGAATCTAATCTAACTATTCATAGGAGATGAATAATCAAAACATTTGAGTAAATAGAAAAGACTTAGAGTTTGAGCTATAATGTATGCACTGATAAATGTTCTCATCTTTATTATATAGCCCAGGTTGCTCTCTAACTCAGTGACAGTCCTACCTCAGCCTCCTGAGCACTGGGATTATAGGTGTGCACCACTATGCCTAGCTAGACTTACTAGTTTTAAGATTAGGTGCCAAGGCAACTCATTTTTTTTTTCTTTCATACTGAGATTTTATTGGTTGTGGACCAGTACACAGACATTTCAATTTGCACACAATTCTTAACACATGTACCAAAAGTCAAAGAACCATGTATTTCTTTTTTTTAAAAAAGTCATTCCAGTAATGTTCCAGCTTCCAACCTGGTGGCACATTTCCCTTAAGAGGACTCATGTAACAGCATCATCAAACGCTGACCAACAGTCCTTACTTCCACTGAAATTTGTTATCATATATACTACACACTCAAATTTTCATCTTTCACAGCGCTGATAGGAAAACTGGACCACTGTGGCCAGAGATGTTACAGAGGGCACACAGTTCTGACAGGACGGTGACCAAGGAGTGTTTTTTTTGTTGTTGTTTTGTTTTTAAGAAAACAGTTTACTAAAAACACAGGACTAGAAGTCATCTAAAATATTCAAGACACACTAAATCACAACTGAGACTCCAAATTGCTATTTAGTATGCTCTGGGTTACAGGATATAAAACTAACCCCCTCTATGGAATGTTACACCCATACCCAAGTCAGTCACAGCCTCCCATGATTCAATATCCCACTGTTTTCTGGTTGTACCAAAAAATAACCAGCGAATGATTTCACCTCTTTAAAAACATCATTTACACTTAAAAAATGGGATGAGGTGGAATTTTCCCCTTTCAAAAACGTTTCTAGAATTACTAAAAAAAACATGCGTTTGCAAAATAGCTGATAAAATATTCCTCTGGATTGTACAAGAAGGGCGGTGGGGAGACTGAGGACAGGATGCAGATCAGCCAGACTTGGCGTCTTTCTCTGCTTCATCCGATGCCGGGCTCTCCTCCTTTCTGGTCTCCGTTCTCTGCGGGCAGGTTTTCTTAGTCTCCTGGGTGGCTACTTCTGTCTGCTTTCCCTTTGCTCCCATTTTTCCTTTTGTCTGCATTTATCTGTCCAAAGATTTATCCTTTCCCATGGCCTTTTTTGGCTTGGATTCCACTTTGGCAGGAGCAGGTTTGGCCAACAGCCTCGCCAATCTGCACTTGGGCTCCTCCTTGGCCGCTGCCTCCGAGCTGACCTTCCCCATTGGCTTCGGAGCCCCTCTGTGCTCACGCTCACAGCTCATTTTTTTTTTTTTTCTATGCTATTTTTCTGTAAACTGAAGATGCCATACACACTAAATTGTGAATAGTTACTGTTATTCATTCCACAGATATATAATAAGTGTTCACTCTTTGCTAGATAGTCAGCTAGGTGACAGAAAAGATAGCCATATACTGTAATTGTATGTGTACTACACAAATGTAGTTATAATGATACAATTTTTTTCTTTACTAGTTTTGAGGATCAAAACCCTAGGACCTAAGCCAGATGTGCTGGTATACACCTTTAATCCCAGCACCAGAAAGAGGAAAATAAATTAATGTCTTAAGTTCCGATCAAGCAGTCTTGCAGAACATAGGCAAACACTCAGTCTACCACTGAGTTATAGCCCTAGCCTTTTTGTCATTGCTTTTGAGTTAGAGTTTTGCTCTGTAACTCTAGCTAGCCCAGGTCTAGCAATATAGTCCAGGCTGGCCTCAAATTTGTGAGCATCTTCCTGCCTCTTTCTCCCCCACCCCACCCCCTATGCTGGGATTACAGGCTTTTGTCACAAAGCCTGATCACTTAAAATTTTTATTTCAGGCCGGGCACGCCTTTAATCCCAGCACTCAGGAGGCAGAGGCAGAGGCAGGTGGATCTCTGTGAGTTGAAGGCCAGCCTGGTCTACATAGTGAATTCCAGGACAGCTGGAGCTACAGGGAGACCCTGTCTCAAAAAGATCAAAAAAAAAATTTTTTTTCATACATGAGTACACTGTATCATTTCCACCCCTCCAAGTCCTCTTTGTCCCCCAATCTCTCAAATTTATGACCTCGTCTATAATTGGGTTTTGGGGGAGATCTTTTTGGGGTTTTTTTTTTTTTGTTTTTCCTTTCATCTTTGAGCCAAGGTCTCCCTGTAGCCCCAGCTGTCCTGGAACTCACTATATAAACCAGGCTGGCCTTGAACTCACAGAGATCCCCCTGCCTCTGCCTCCCGAGTGCTGGGATTAAAGGCATGTGCCACCACGCCCAGCTTAAAATTGTTTTTATATAAACCTACAGGGTCTAATTAGTATTGCCCATATGTGCAGTGTGTTCAGGTCTGACTGTTTAGGATTGGGGGCTCATCCTTAAAGAAAATCAGTTCTAGAACCCTCAGTAGTCACTAACTGCCTGTAGCTCTTCGTGGAGAGTGCAACATCCCTCCTTCCATGTTGGCATATCAGTTGCCATGGTCTTTGCAGGGCTTGTGCAGGCAGCCATATTGTTGAATGGTTATTTTACCTGTGGTAAGATATTGGACTATATATAGACATACTCATTTTTCCTGCTTTGGGGGACACCCATACCCTAGAAAAACTAGTTCATCAGTGAATATTTAGAGTTATTAATCATGTTCAGTATTCATAAGCAAACTCCCATTTCCATTAGGCATTCCGCCACACACACTTTTTCCCCCATTTTAAGAAAAAGAAATTGGGGTTTGGAAGCCATGAATTCATTCCCTAACATCCAAAATAAAAGGGAGGGAAGAAGTTGTTAATAGTATTAATACTTACATTGGTATGAATTATTGTACTGGTTAATTGGTTTTATTTATTTATTGAGTTGGGGTCATGCTGGCCTGAATTCAGTGTATCCCAGGATGATGACCTTGCCTTCATCTCCCTCACGCAGAAATTATAGGTGTGTACCAACATGCCCAATTTTATGGGGTGCTAGGATCAGTTCCAGGGTTTTATGCATGCTAGGTAAGATCTCTACCAACTGAGCAATATCCCCAGCCCCTCTCAAATACGTTTTTAAAGTGCCAGTACCCCTGTACATGAGCGCGCACGTACACGCACACACACACTTTGGACTTAGGGTGTTGTGTGTACCTGGCACATGTTCTACCACTGAGAGTTACAACCCTGGCTCTTTTTGTTTTGATTTGGGTTTTGTTTCTATTTGAGGCAGGGCTCACCATGTAACTCACGCTGGTTTGAAATTTGATGTATATAACTAGGCTGGCCATGAGTTTTTTCTCATCTAAGTGCTAAGATTTTGGGGCCTTCACCTTACCGCCCTACTTTCTGCTTTATTTTGAGATGGAGAATGAGGTGTCTCACTAAATTAACTGGTCTGAAACTTGTAATCCTTCTGCCTCAGCCTTCCAAGTAGCTGTGATTACAGGTGTGTCTTCATATTGGGCCATGCTTTCTTCTTTCTGGTTTTTTAGAAGACTGGTAAACACTGAGGTAGAGAGTTTGCCTAGCACGTGGGAAGGCTCTAACACTGCAGTCACTTAAGCTGCTTAATATGTATACATGAAATGTACAAATACATATATATATATCCCACCTATTTGGGTGGCTGATGCAGTATGAGACCAACCTGGCCTAAAGATTGAGACCCTGTCTCAAAAAAAGCAAAGCAAATAAATAAAAATAAAATACTACCCCTTCTTCAAGGAATAGTGATTTAATCAGAAAAGATAATATTAAGGCAAATATTGACTACTTTGAAAAGCATTGGTAAATATTGTAGACTTTGCAGACTATATGATCTTTGTTACAGATACTAGGCTCTCCCATTCATTATAGCTCAGAAGCAGCCTCGAGAGTACATAAATGAATGGCCACGTTTTATTGTGGTAAAATAGAATTACAAAAATTATTACTTGGAGCCAGGTGTGATGACACTATAATCCAGGTACTCAGGGGGCAGAGGCAGGAAGATTGCCTAGCTAGCTTAGGTCTTACCTTGCAACTTCTAGACCAGCCAAAGTTACAGAATGAGATGCCTCAAAAAAAGAAAAAGTTGAGCTTTAGATAGACAAAGAGGTAATGTGAAGTATGCGTAGTAATCCTAATATTTATTGGAGTACAGCAGTAAATAATCAGGTGGTTTGAGAAGAGATAGTATTTTAATTGGCTTTATAGGCTAGGTAAATTTGAGGCATGGTGAGAAAGGAATTGGGGAACTGGGGTAGAGTTTGTGCTAGCATCATAATTGTTAGAAAGGGACTTTGTCTATTAGCTTGCTGCAGGTATGTGTTGTAAATCACTTCAGCAAGCTTACATGGATGAGTTGTAAAAGCATGAACAGTGAAATTCCTTCTCCTGAGCTGTTCTGGGCTTATAATCTTGGATTATATACTAAAATATAGAATAAGAATATAACTCATTTATGGAGTCACTGTCTTCCTGCATTTGGTGTTATCTTAGACTAGCTTTTAAAACTTTATCCGCAGGACTGAGGAAAAAGTGATTTGTGAACAGAAAGTGTATGTTTTTATGATAATGTATGTAATCATGAAAGGTAATGCCAGTAATAACGAAATGAAATCAATAGACATAGGTTACATTAGAAATAGAGGTGTTTTTGCTGGGCGTGGTGGCTCACACCTTTAATCCCAGCACTTGGGAGGCAGAGGCAGGCAGATCTTTGTGAGTTCAAGGCCAGCCTGGTCTACATAGTGAGTTCCAGGACAGCTAGGGCTACAAGGAGACCCTGTCTCAAAAAGACAAATAAAAAAAATTAAAAAAAGAAATCGAGGTTTTTTAAGGGCTAGAGAGAGGGCTCATTGGTAAAGGGCTGTATTGCTCTTGCAGAGGACCCAAGTTCAATTCCTAGCACTCCTGTTGGGTGACCACCTGTAACTCCAGCTCCAGAGGGACCCAGTGCCTCTGGCCACCTGGGACACCTATAATTGTGGGCACATACATACACACATGCATAATAAAAAAAAATGTTTACAAATATTGTGGTTCTAAGAGCCGCGTTTAAACTGAAAAATAAAATGAAAAAAATTTTTCTCTTTTTTTTTTTTTTTTTTTTCCTGTTTTTTAAAGATCTGTTTACCCGAGGTATTGATATACAAGCTGTGAATGTGGTAATAAACTTTGACTTCCCAAAGTTGGCAGAGACTTACCTTCATCGTATTGGAAGATCAGGTAGGTAAAAAGAAGGGGATGGTCTAGTAGCTGTTTTATGAGAAATATAATCATTACATTTTGTTCTTTTGTGAAGTAAAACATAGTAGTTATAAGAACAGTGAATTAACAGTAATTCAGTAGTTTGATATTTAAAAGCTAAGTTTTCACTTTTAAAAAATACTTATTTTAGCCGGGCATGGTGGCACTCACCTTTAATCCCAGGACTCAGGAGACAGAGGCAGGCAGATCTCTTGAGTTCAAGGCCAGCCTGGTCTACATAGTGAGTTCCAGGACAGCTGGGGCTACAGGGAGACCCTGTCTCAAAAAGACAAAAAAAAAAAACTTATTTTGGGCTGGAGAGATGGCTCAGGTTAAGAAAACTGGTTATTCTTGCAGAAGACCCAGGTTCAGATCCCAGCACCCACATGGCAGCTAACAACTGTCCATAACTCCAATTCCGAAGAGTTGTCTTCTGGCCTTAGTAAGCACTTACATGCACATACAAATGTGCACACAATAATAATTTTTTAAAATTTGTCTTTAAAGGTAACCTGGGGTATCATATGGAGGATGCATATCCTCTGTCATTTTTTTTAGGGGGGAGGTCTTTTTGAGACACGGCCTCCCTGTAGCCCCACCTATCCTCGAACTCATTATGTAGACCAGGCTGGCCTTGAATTCACAGAGATCCGCCTGCCTCTGCCTCCTGAGTGCTGGCACTAAAGGTGTGCACCACCATGCCCTGCTGACTCTGTCTTTTAAAAAAAGAAGTAAAGTTAGACTGGAAATGGTGACATAAACCTATAATACCAGGACTTGAGAAGTTGAGGTAAGAAAATCATGATTAAAAGTTAAGCTGGGCCACATACTGAGACCTGTCCCCAAAACAAAAAAGATAGAAGAGCTTAAATAATTATTACATACTCAATTGGGGGTAAAGTTAAATACATGAAAACTTTATTGATTAGATAACAGTGTGTGACTGTACTGTTCAGGGAGTATATTTTGGCAGCCTGGTGCAAATAGCATCCATTTTGTCACTTGAAGAAGGTAAAATGAAGTACAGTTGTCTCTTAGTGTATATGTGGAATGGATTCTAGGGTCCAATATCAAAGTCTGTGGGTATTTGTTTATATAAATGTGAGGTATTTGCTTACAACTAATACACGTCCTCTTATAAATAATCCCTAGCTTTACCTCATACAATGTAAATGCTTGGTTTGATATTGGCACCAAGCAGAAATACTAATCCTGTGTGGTTTGACCAATTACAGACTTGCATATACATGTTGCTTTTCATACTTAACTCATTTTATTAACACATTTTTCTTTAGGTCGCTTTGGTCATCTTGGCTTAGCTATCAACTTGATCACTTATGATGATCGCTTCAACCTGAAAAGTATTGAGGAGCAGCTGGGTACAGAAATTAAACCTATCCCAAGCAACATTGACAAGAGCCTATATGTGGCAGAATACCATAGTGAGCCTGTGGAAGATGAGAAACCTTAACAAGCATGTATGTACCCAACAGCAAAGTGAACAGAACCTTCACGTTTAGGAGAGAAATAAGGACCTCTTTCTTGGGAGAAGTTCGATGTCCCACCTTATATGATAGTAACAACCACTCACATCCTTTTAATTTAATTATTATGAATGAGGGCTGCCCACCATTAGAACTTCAATCCCAGGGATGTATAGAAGAAAGTCCTTGATTGGTTTGGGGGCAGGGGTGAGTTTTGAGACGGTCTTACTCTGTAACCCAGGCTGGCCTAAAACTGATGGCGATCCTTGCCCCAACCTCCTGAGTGCTTGAATTTAATAGACATGAACCACCATCCTCAGCTGAAATCCCTTAATGTAAATAGTGGATCCTGGGGCTGGAGAGATGGCTCAGCGGTTAAGAGCACTGACTGCTCTTGCAGAGGACCCGGGTTCAATTCCCAGCACCCACATGGCAGCTACGAACTGTCCTTACAGTTCAGGGGAATCTGAAGCCCTCTTCTGACCTCCGCAGGCATTGCACAACACAGGTGCACTCACATACATGCAGGCAATGCACTCATACACATAAAAATAATAGATAAAATATTTTTTTTAAAAATAGTGAATCCTGCCGGGAGTGGTGGCACACGCCTTTAATCCCAGCACTTGGGAGGCAGAGGCAGGTGGATCTTTGTGAGTTCGAGGCCAGCCTGGTCTACATAGCGAGTTCCAGGACAGCTGGGGCTACAGGGAGACACTGTCTCAAAAAGAAAAAAGAAAAAAAAAATGGTGAACCCTAAAGTAGGTAAAGACTCAATAGAAACTGCTAGAGAGAGCATTTGGGACAAGGATGTGAAAACTGTCTCCTAGTATTATATTGCTTTCACAGATGTTAATTTTAAATTTCTAAACTCTTTCCATAGGCCTTGACAAACTGCAGAGGCTCCTTTGGATCTGTGACATATTATTTTTGCGTGGGGGGGGGATATGCTCTTCTCTTTGTGGGTTTTTTCGTCTTTTATTTTGGAACTATGAAGACTTAAGAGCTCAGACATTTTTCTTTTTTTTTAACTGGTGAAGAGAAACTGAAAAGAAGAAATAGACCTTTTTTGTTCCACTTGTTTGCACTGTGTGCTGACTGAACATTAGTTGCACTAACTGCTGGTTTTAAATGTTTTCTGGGGAAAGGGGACAAGGAAGGAGGAACAAGAAGAGAAGGGGAGAAACCCTAAAAAGAGAAGACTCTTAAAGAACACACAAGCTTGTCTACAATTCCACAGTTTCAAACAGCTGACTACTGCATTTCAACTTCTCCCTGATTAGTCATCCGTTTTTAAGCCTGAAGAGCTTATTACTTATTTGTGCGAAGTGCCTTATGCTATGAGACCATTCAGAATATCATCTTTTAGACTCAGCCCAAGGAATCAACAGTCATTTTCTGTTATTTTCTATTTCCTTTTTTTCCTTCATCTCTTCATTTTGGTTTCAAGTTGAAGTCTTTCTTCCTGTTACTAGTGCTCAAGCCCAGGGCTGGAAGATGGAACTAGTAATGTTAAACCATTTTCTTTTTCTTTATATGGAGGAGTTGATATGCAACTGCAGTGCATCCACACTGTAAATACATGTGTTTAAAAACAAACCCAAGTAGAATTTTCTCCTGGGCTGAGCAGATCCAACATCATCGCTCCCAAAGGAAAGAGCAGTCTATCGTTGCAGGAGCCATATGACAAGCCTTTGTGCTCTATAGCAGAACACTAAAGACTGGTTTACATACACCTCCATTAACAGTATGGCACTTGATGTGTAGACTTGTCAGAGCCTTGACCTCTTTCCTCTGTGGCAAAGCGAGTCCCATAGAAAATTGGATGTGTATATTGTATAAACTTTTGTAAATAAGTTTTTTTTCTGGGTTCATATATATATATATATATATATATACATATATATATATTTTTTTTTTGGATGAAGGTTGCTGGGATTAAGGGGATTAGAGTGATTATGGGAGCAGCTAAAGATGAGAGGGGCTCAGTTTTTTGCAACACTAAATTCTAAAAAGTGCTTTGGCCTCTTACTGTAGAAAGCAAACCTCTTTGGGGACCCTGTGTTAGAGACGGGGCCCAGAAGTCTAGGATGTACTCTTGCTGCCACAGTACACGTTTGGAGCAGTCTTACCAGAAAGCAGGGAAGTTTCAGCAATCTGTAATTCACAGTGATTTTTTTTTTTTTTAATGAAGCACTGTGACTTTAGTTCTCCTTTTCTAAAAGTTTGAGGAACTTTCCAAGTTCTGCAAAGGGGGGAACAAGGGTTAATCTTCCTTGCAGGGTGAGAATCCTGTTGAGTGGCAGTGTCTTTGAGCAGAACATGTATAAAGCACAGATTTGCATTTCAGAACATTAGCCAGCACCATCTATGGTAAGCTTAGCAGTTCTGGAGCTCAGCTGTCTGTGGATCACCTCCACAGTGTGTGAATGTGTTGCCTCTGCCCACCTTGATCCATGAACTGCAGTGACAGCGACCCTTGAGAGCTGTTGAACTTCCATGCTACAGAAAGCTGCTTGCCTTCTCTGCGCCATGACAAGAATTGTTACCTGTCATTTTGCATTGTAAATTGCTGGCAAATGCTTTGGTGAATAGTGTTGCTTTAAATTGTGCCCCTCCCAACATGCTTGATGTTTGGCCTGATCTCCAGGCAAAAAGAGTGAGATGAATCAAAACCAGTGAACTTTTTTTTTTTAAATGTTTTTAATTCCCTTTTAACCCAGTGTACTAAGTCGATCAGGAGGCATCTAGGGAACAAAAAAAAGCAAAAAACTAAATTTAAAAAATTGATTTCCATACACCATCATTCTTCTAAATCTTAAAACACATTACAAGTTACGTCATGTGTGTGCTTTCATGCTTAACTCATCTGGATAAAGAAATCAGTTATTCGAAGTTGCTTTTTTGACTGCCTAGTTCTAAGCAAAACTATTTGTGACTCACCCAAAATTCCTTGGGGATCAAAATCCTGCAGATGCCTCCTGATCAGACATAGCCCTAACTCCTTAACAACTGTAGCAAGAGCTGCACAGTACAAACCCCAAAAGCGCAAATTCCTTTATTTGGAACCTTCCTTTATTTGGCTCTGTCCAGTCAATCTTGGTTACTAAATATAAACCAAATTAAGGAAGTCATTTTTCCAAGGAGGGTGGGGGGAGGGGATTTAACCATGTCACCTTTTGACCAACAAATCTTGCCCCTGTACTGATGCAGCTCTCTTCCCCACCTTAGGCGAGATAAGAGGGACCTTTCATGAAGAACTTCAGTAAGGAGTCTAAATGCATTGTTATCTCGCCAAAGGGGGTGTAGTTGATTCAGCGGAAAGCAAAGTGCAGTCTCCTTTGCCAACTTTGGACTGCTCTGCCTGGTGCCACATGCCTATGGGTCCCTCTTAAAGCACAGACTTAAAATTGAAAGTATTACTGAAGTACAACCTCTAACGAGGAGTGGCACTTAGACTAGCCAGGGCACCACGATTGGACACTGCCCTAGAGAGGCAGCAGTTGGTTTTGGTGCTTGATTCAAATAGGAATTCAGGAAAGATGCTCTGCTGACTAGGCCAAAGCCTGGTCTTTTTTTTTTTTTTTTTTTCCTGTTTTTTTTTTTTTTTTTTTTTTTTTTTTTTAAATCCCTCATAATAAGAACATTACTACTGTTGGAGATTGTCTTTCAGGTTCTTTTCAGCAATTTTTTTTTTTAAAGGCAATGGTTATGGTTTTTTTTCCGGTGGTTCATTTGGATGAGAACTATGTCCTTTTTTCTTTTTTAAGTATTCAAACTATATCCAACTCATGGACTCATGGTTTAGTCTCCTGATTATATAGTTGTGTAATAAGTTACAGACTGTTACACACCTTGTCGCCTTTGGGCCCATTTTGTTTTTCTCTCCCTTTATGTCCTGAAGGTGAAAGAAACTTTTCTCTTAGAAGTAGAATACATTTATCATAAAATGATTTTTTTCCTGGAAAGAAGGGAAGAAAAACCTAACTATATTTCTAAATTATTTCCAATGGGTCCCAGTATCCTGACACTGAGGTGGTCCAAAATGGTGGGGTGGGGTGGATGGGAGGTTGTCATTACTTGTTTTCAGAATGAGATGGGAGCATCTTTCCTTTGCCACTCACTCTGTGTTTGATACCATCATGCTTGGTTAGAATAAGACAACTTGACAGAAAGCTGTGAGTGTGAACTGTTGGAATCAAAACATCTCATTCTGATCACTTGGTTTAATTTTTTTTCTTTTTCTTTTTTAAATAGGGGTGGGAGGGAGGGTGCTGTGTCCCAAAAGGGAGGGTGTCTGCACTAAGGATTTAGAAACACTTTGGAAGCGCATAACCTCATCAGAAACTGCCTTTAGCCACACTCCTGACCACCTAGATGAGTAACAAAAGGATGAAATCAGTTCTTGGGAATTAAGCCATGTTATTTTAATTCCATACCTTTATTTTTCAGCATTCTATGTATCTTTAAAATTGTTATTATGGAATAATTTTCTTGCCCAGTATCTTTGTCAATCAAAATTATTGGCCTCATGGGAACTGAAGTGTAAGCCAGCTTTTAGGTGGACTTTGAGGAGTTTGTAGTTATACTTTATATAGGTAAAGATTTTTAAAACTCCCAAAGCAAATCTCTTCTCTGATCTAAACACTCATCTTTGGAGTAAAGAGTTAAGTGTCCAAAGGTTGTAACGATTGTGAGGTCAGAGGGAGCTAGCCTAGCACCTGGACTGCCCCTCCACAGCTGACAGACTCCAGAAGTGTTTTTAAATCTCCAGTAGACTGTGCTGGGCGGGGCAGGGGAGGGTTGGGGCTGGGTTAGTAAGATACAGGCTGCTGTATTTTAACCAGTGGTTGTTGGGGAGGGGTGCCTGGAGAAAACAAAGTCACTTCCCTTTTTTGAAACAAATTTGGAAAAAAATATAATTTTTGTCCTGTAAAAATGGGAGAAAATTCTAATGTCCCTAGCCACAAGGGACCATTTCCACTGCAAATAGTGGGAACTTTAAATTTTGAAAATATTTGGGGAAAGGGAAAATTGGCTTTCTGTTTAATTGGCAAACGTTCCAGTGGGGGCTCTGTTTTTGTTGGGATGTGTTATGTTGTATGTGTTTATGGACCAGAGTCTACTGAGTTTAGAAGGTTCAGAAAAGATGCGTGGGAAAATCTTACTACTTTTGTTAATTTATCCCAATAAAAGCCCACTGGAACTCCAAATGTGTGTTGTATGTTCTTAAAGCAGGCTGTGCATTAGGAATCTGAGAGCATTTTACTATAGTAATTCATACTGTGAAGCAACCCAGTGTTCTTAGCAGTATTGCTGTGAGCCCAGTTGAATAAACTTCAGGAATTCTGTCGTACACCCTAGATTTCCTGTCACAGACAATTTTCATAGCCAAAACAGGTGTTGATCCACTAGTTGGGATTCTCAGTCATCACCTCCCAGGATTGTTCTAACTGTAAAGCTGAGCATGTTCACAAAAACTTAACAGGAGGAGAAAACACTGAGGAAAGAGAAGACTAAACAAACATTGTGCATGCTGCCTGTGCCAGGCTTCCTAAAGAGATGCTTAGATGTAACAAAATATACCAGTGAAAGAAGACTGGAATGGAGAGGTGCCATGTTCACAAACTGGGAGGCTAAAAACACTGTCAAGCCATGCTTCAATTTGATCTTCATAGTCAATGCATTTCTAATGCAGACTTTAATCCGTAAACTGGGAAAGCATGTTGTAACATTGTATAAATGAACAGATTTGGGTTGGAGCTATAACTCAGCAGTTAAAAGCACTTGCTATTGTAGAAGACCCTGATTCAGTTCCCAGCACCGACAAGGTGGCTAACAACTGTAACTCCCAGTTCCTGGGGATCTGACACCTTCTGGCCTCTGCAGGCATTGCATGCAAGGGTGCACATTCCAGACAAAACTCAGATTTTTAAAAATTTTTTATGTGTATGAGTGTATTGACTGCATGTTTGTGAGTGCACCTGTGTTGTGCAATGCTGTGGAGGTCAGAAGAGAGCTTCAGATTCCCCTGGAACTGGAGTTAAGGACGGTTCGTAGCCGCCATGTGGGTGCTGGGAATTGAACCCAGGTGTTCTGCAAGAACAGTCAGTGCTCTTAACTGCTGAGCCATCTCCAGCCCCTGAAACTCATTTTTTAAATGAAAAAAAAGAAAGATTGTAGGATTTGCTGCCCAATTTGAAGACTCAAAAGACTACAGTCAAGAGCATTGCGGTATTGGGGGTGGGAGTGGTGAGCCCCAAAGTAGATGCACAAATTTTTGACATAAAGTTTCAGTATGCAGGCTGGTCTTGAACTCTTGCATGCATGTATCACTGCACTAGGCAAGAATTGATTTTTTTAATATATTTTTTTATTTTATGTGTATGCATGTAATTGCCTGCATGTAGATAAGTGTACCCATGCCATGCAATGCCTGTGGAGGACAGAAGAGACTGGCAGATCCCTTGGAACTGGAGTTATGGACAGTTGTTAGCTGCCATGTGGGTGCTGGGATTCGAACCTGGGTCTTCTGCAAGAACAGTGTTATCAGCTGAGCCATCTCTCTAGCCCCAAGAATTGATATTTTGACAGTGCAAGGCCAATTCACTACAGAAAGGATAATCCACCAAATGACAATGGAACTATTGAGCATCCAAACTGCAAAAAACTGTCTTGTACAAAAATCATGAGCATAGAAGGCTAAGCACTGCACACCTGAAGTTCACCTACGCTGGAGGGTGTGGCAGAAGGATAACACTTAACTCCCCCTTTCCCTCCACTCCACCCTCACCCCCTACAATTCTGGCCAACAAGTGGTGTCTTAGGACACAGAATTTATTCAGAATTTAAGATTACCAACATGTAGAGTTTGTGCATGGAAATACCATATCTGGTACCTTATCTCCAAATTCAGTTCTCCCACTACAGTGTATATGAAGACATGGGGAAGCCTGTTATCAGTCTAAGAATCAAGTGTGTGCCTTTAATCCTATGCAGAGGCTGGTGGAGCATTTGAGTTCAAGTTTCCCACCAGCCAGAGCTGCATAGACCCTGCCCAAAGCGGGGGAAAAATGAAACTAAATCACTTGAGGTTCCTGCATACTCTGCTATAGGGTCAGAGCAGAGCTCCTTGGTGTGGGAGAGTGCAGGTTCCTAGATGCTCAGCTAATGTCCATTCCCCCATGAATCTAGAGTATGTAGTATCTGCTTCCCTGGGTGTTTTCTCTCTGCTCACTATCCAGAGATTAACCTGTGTGAACCACATTAACAGAGCTCTGGCTCCTGTTTTGATTTGCTTATCAGGGATTCCCAGTCAGCACCACACCCTTAAAGTCAGGACAAGAAAAGAGTAAGGCCCTCTAGTTCCCTAGTTCCAGTTTGTATTCCTCCGATTCCCTGGTGGCAAGCTCCCCTTAGCTACTTTGTCTCAAGATCTCTGAAGTTCCTCATTTTCTGCTGTCTCTCCCCTTGTTAGGTTTCCCTATGCCTATAAATAGATCCTGCATAATAAGCCCTCATGTTGTTACAAGTCTGCCAACAGTTCCTCCTTGTGACCTAGATTGATGAGTAAGTGGTACCAGCAGTGATCAGGGCTTGCAATAAGATAATCATAGCACACAGTGATACCAATTCCGATTTGGCTGGTGGTTAAAAAAAAATAGGGGTGCTGGAGAGATGGCTCAGCAGTTAAGAGCACTGGCTGCTTTTGCAGAGGACCCAGGTTTCCACACCCACATGGCAGCTAACAACTGTCCTAACTCTAGTTCCAGGGGACCCAAGCCCTTCTGACCTCTGCAGGCACTGCACTACACAGGTGCACTTTACATGCAGGCAGTATACTCATATACATAAAAGGGCATAGGAAAGTGGGACTGGAGATTTTAGCAAGAAGAGGCCCTCAAATATACACAATAAAATTATGAATGCAATCAACATCCAGAGAATGAAGACCTTGGGAATTCTCAAGCCCTCATCTGTAAATAACTTGGGTGTTAGCTAATTGATAATCATGCCCTTAGGACTGAAATAGCAATCTACAGAAGTTTAGCTGACCTATATAAGCAGAGGTCTAGGCAGCATAGTGAGAGTTGACAGCCTCCACAAAGAGACGCATGGAATAAGGAACACTATGATGGAAAAGTCCAAATAGAAACCACCAGAATTATTTCTATCAAAGCAATAACCCCAAAATACCATATTTCCCAACAAGATGCAAGAGATGAGTGCTATCCACAAACAGGACACAGGTTAGTAGTTCTAGATCTCTGTTCCATGCACATACTTGATTTGTGCAGAAGATACAGAAGAACTGGGGTAGATTATTGTGAGTCTAATCTAATCTACAGCTGCTGTTCTAAGTGTGTTATTTGAAGTTTTACCTGGAACAAAGCCACACATCACCTACCACCTGGTATATAACTACTGTGAAAACTTTTTTCTCCAGATCCAATAGTAACTATTGCCAGAAGCAGTTTGCTTTCAGCTGATAGTCCTGTGTCCAGATTCTTTTACCCCTCTGTATGCAAAGGGACTTGTTTCAGTGAAACTTCTAGAAATCCCATGGACTGGGACAAATTGTAATATCCTTCTTTAGGTAAAGACAATTTGCTGGTCAGATGCAGACCCTCACGTCACAAAGAGACACAAGTCTAGTGGACTTGTTTGGCTTCTTCAATTCATTTGCTGAAAACTCTGAGCTGTTACCATTTTTGTGAGTGGCCCAGGACAAGATGGGGCTCTGCCGCAGGTGTGGGCTGCATGAGATTGTTCTGCCCCTGGATCTTACAATTGAGACAGTACAGTCATCTCAGAGTGTCTGTGGCAGTAAGGGGTGCTTTATGGAACTTTGCTATAGTCCTTTAGGGGAATGACAACCAGACCTTGAGAGTTTTGATGGCCAGCTCAGCCTTCTGCAGGTACCTTCTCCAAGACAGACAGCTCCTGCTCTGCTATCAGTGCAGCATGAATGCTCAGCCACTGCATTAAGCATGTTACCAAGTCAACGTGTGACTTGAACTGCTCACCACAAACTGCATGCTGCCTAGTTCATCAAGCCTTGAGAAGGCTTTGGTTCACAGATTTTAGTTTCCAAGGGAGGAACACCTCCTCCAAGATATTCAGCAGTGGTTCCATTAAACTGGAAACAGATTTTGGAGCTTCTCAAGCTAAGGAACCAACAGGCAAAGTACTGCTTTATAGTGACAGGTCTTGATTGAGAAGATGAAATTGGGTTGTGGCTTCATAGAGGAGAAGGAAGAATATGTCTGTGGTGCAGTAAGTAGGTCTCAGGCTACCACCCAATGTGACAAAAGTGATGAAAAATGACTCAGGGTCGTGGTCGTAGATATGTGCTAACAATAAACTAAATCCCCAGCCCTTAAAATCGTCATCTTCCTCCTCTTCCTTTTCTTCCCCCTCTTCCCTCTCCTCCTCCTCTTCCCTCTCCTCCTCCTCTTCCTCCTCCTCCTCCACCCCCTCCTCCTCTCTTTTTTTGAGACAAGGTCCCACTAAGTAGCCTTGACTGGTACCAACTAGTTGCCACCTGCCTCAGCCTCTAAAGTGTTGGGATTACAGGGACACATTTTTTTATCTTATGATGGACAGTGTAATATGTTGATCATAAGCATAATCTTGCTATTCTATTTATTTGGAAGCTAAAATATAGTTATGGGGACTGGTGAATGGACTCAACAGGTAAAGTGCTTGCTATGCAAGCATGAGGACCTGAGTTTGATCCCCAGCACCCATGTGAAAAGCCAGGTGTGATGGCATGTGCCTGCAACCCCAGCGCTGAGGAGGTGGGAGCAGCAGGCTCCCTGGGGCTTGCTGACCAGCCAGCCTACCTGTCCTAGTTTTGTTTCCTTTGCTGTGATAAACCACTCTGACCAAAACCTACCTAGAGAGGAAACAGTTTACTTGGCTTACAGTTCATAGCCCATCATCAAGGGATCCCAGGGTAGGAGCTCAAGCCAGGAACTTGGAGGCAGAAACTGAAACAGAAACCATGGAGAAACACTGCTTACTGGCTTACCCAGCTACTTTCTTTATATAGCCCAGGCCGACCTCTCCAGGGATAGCACTGCCCTCAGTGGGCTGGGCCCTCCTACATCAATTAACAATTTAAAAAATGCCTCATGGGGCTGAAGATGGCTCAGCAGTCAAGAGCACTGGCTGCTCTTGCAGAGGACCTGGGTTCAAGTCCCAGTAACCA